GTCCCAAACCTGTTTACCGGCATCCCAAAAATGTGCGGGCCACCCTCCTAAGGGCGGCCCGCGCAAATCTTCGATTTTATCAGATACTTGAGACGCACAGCGCACCGAAAAAAGACTACACCGGCCCCAAACTCCCTCCCTCAGGCATTATTTGTCAATACTTTTTGGAATACAAAGTGGAATGTAAAACTTTTTGGAATGTAAAGCCTTTTAGAGTGTGAGTCCATTGCAAGTCATCCCATGTCCACCCTTGCATTCACACTTCACTACTCTACCCCACCGAGCTGTTTTACCATGCACGGATCCAAGCTGTATGTCCAACACAGTAGATCCAGTAGATCCACACTATCCAGCAGTAGACAGTCATCATCGGCAGCCACATTCGTCTGTCTCCGGACAGACGGGCGCCCAGCTCCGCGCCGACACAACAAAGCCACAGACAGTCGGCCATCATCCGGCTCACCATTAATAGAGCCGTGCAAATGATGTGCCACCTTCCGAGGGCGTCGCCACCGGTCGCGCGCGCCAGCCCGGCTCGGCGGTCACGATACCTACATCCCTGGCCGGCACTGTGGGACCAGGGACATTCCCGAGTGTCAGGATAGGACGGCTGCTCATCGTCAGTGTCCTGCTGCCGGCTACCGCCCACCGGCTCCACGAGTGCAGCTTTCCAGGAGTACTGCGCACTGTCTCCCAGGAGTAATTTCCCACCAACCAGAAACTGCCTCCCATGGGTACCGCTTCTCCCTGGAGCAGTACCCACCTCCCAGGGAGCGCTGCAAATACCTGCAGACGGTCCCATTCACTGGGGATTCACCCAGCTGATGAATCCCGGTAGGTATCCATGAGGCACTGCCCCAGGGCTGATTATCACTCCTACAGATACCCTGGAGAGACATACTGCGCCCGTCGCCACACGATACCCTTACTCTCATTCCGCTGCTCTCAGTCAGAGTGGGCTCAGGTCACCCTTGGAAGTGGAAGTGACTGAATGTAAATACGGCCCAGGAAACCACTCAGGAATGAATGCTGAGTGACGATGAAATCTACAATGGTGCAATAAACGGTATGAGGGTGCAACATGTGACGCCAGCCCACATACCGTCCACACCATCCCCATATAATTCAACTGCACTGGACGTTCTGAGACCAATCCAGACTTTAAGGGTATGATATGACCGAAATCACTGTTCCTTTACGGAACACATGCAGTGAAAACACCGAGCATTTGTGAGGATACGGATCAGCATACCATGTTTCTCACCGCAAGACAGCACCGTCTACCCGACACCCGTCGCGCAGCCCCACGATATATATAAACGTTGAGTAGAGTGAGGCAACAGTCCAACCATACATTGATGCTGCTTATTAGGAAATCTCATAAGTAGATTTGTATTTGGATGAACTTATGTCGACACTAGCGAAATAATTAACATACCGGGAATAAATAAGTAATGATGACACCTCCACGGAACAGAACATGACGCATAGAACCTAATCGACAACCAAGCATTTATTATTGTTGTTTGTGTCACCCTTTACGTGGATTTGCGTCAGCCCTTCCGCGATCCGCCCGCTTCTCAAGTTCTCCCCACCTCTCGGTCCGTCGCCTGCGGGAGCCACGATCGATGCTGTTTCAGATCGCTCTCTTTATTTAAACGGCGCGCACTGATGTGATTTGGATGGATGCCCGCCGAGACGAAATGGGCCAAATTTCCTCAAACAAAATAAGATTTACGGAACAATTTTGTCCGATGTAAAAGAGTCCTTCACAAGAATTCAGAAGTGATTGTATGTTGTTACCCGGACAACCAGCATCGACCCGTACGTTGTAAGTCTTCGCCGGATTTCTCGCCCACGTGATTTCCACTTTTGTCTGAGCCGCGTCGGCCCTAGCAACACCTCTATTCACACTGTCCTTCGCGCCGAGTTGTGTCAGTCGCCAGCTATCTGCGAGGGCGGCGCGGCGAGCTTAATCTCGCCCGCGCGACACTTTAATGCAAGATCAAGTTTATAGTTGATGGGGCGAGCGAAGATACGACGGCGGCTGGCTCATGCATTATTCCGTGTCGGTGGCGGTGCCTGCCTGTTAAGCGCTCCTCGGCCGTCACTCAATGGCTGCCGCCATGAGAAGCCGATGGCCAAGATAGTGTCCACCAAGATAGTGTTAGTTGGAAAAATAACCGTTATTAAATCTCTTTTAGTCTCAAAACTAGTTCATTTATTGACATCACTACCAAACCTTGAGGAAGAGACCATTAAAGAGGTAGAGAACATACTATACCGCTTTCTGTGGAACAATGGCCCGGATAAAGTAAAACGTGCGCTAATAACAAAAGAATTTAGCGGGGGTGGCCTTAAAATGATAGATATTCGCTCCTTCATGACAAGTTTAAAAGTATCCTGGCTTAAAAGATTATACTGGGCACCTAAAGACGTTGGGTGGGCAATTATTGCACAGGATACAATTCCACCACTAGAAAACCTGGTCTGCTTCGGGTCAGTGAAATTAAGAATGGAGGCCAAAAAGGTAAAGAACAGGTTTTGGGAAGAAGTAATTCGCGGATGGTCGAGTTTCTGCACTGCATATAAACCTGACAACGATGAAATACTCGCGGACTTCATATGGTTTTCCGACAGCACAAAATACAAAAAGTCTATCGTTAAAGAATGGAACGAAAAAGGCCTTCGATTTATATCAGACCTGTTCAATCCTTTTGATGGCTCGCTACTGAGCAGAGAGCAGCTTGCAGCCACATATAAAATCAAAATGACATTTTTGTGCTATACCTCCATAATAAGAAGCCTGGCATTTGATACTTCCCCCAATGTAGCATGCATAGCTAAACACATATGGTATCCTATTCAACCTTTTAAAATCAAGCTTCTCTCACAAAACCTGCATCTTTCCAAAGTGGTATATAAAACCTTAGTAACAGGAATTAAAGTAAATCGCGATTCACACATATCTAAAATAAGTTGTAAGTGGATTCGAGATGTTGGTTCTATGCATAATGGAACTTTTTGCGATGTGCGATCGTCTACAAACAACACATATCTTCAAGCACTTCATTATCGAATTATTAACCGCATTGTTGCGACTAAAACTTTTCTCTGCCGAATCGGAAAAACAGAAACTGCTGCGTGCGACCTTTGTGGTAACGACGATACATTGTTTCACGCTCTGTATACATGCAACATAATTCAAAACTTTATACATAATTTAAAATCACATGTTCAAAGTCATTATAATATCAACTTAATAACAACACCTGAAAGCTGGATATTTCCTTGTCGTGACAAGGAAACAAACATTGAAATACTCATCAAATTGGTAGCAAAACACACAATAATGCGCTCCAAAAATAAGAACCGTCCCCCTAGTATCCCTTTGTTTACGTCCCTGCTCCGGGCAGAAGCCATGAAAGAAAAAAAGGCGGCTAAAAACTCTAGGCAATTTGAAAAATTCGAAAACAAATGGGGGAATGTTATAAATATTCTACAAAACATAGGCACCGATTGAAATGTGATGGCCGCCGCCGTCACCGCCGCCGTCGTCGCCATCCCGGTCGCTGCTGTCGGGGGGACCTGGGCTGCCCGCCCTCGCCGCCTCCGGAGAATGGCTGCCGCTGCCTGGCTGCTCGGCCTGCGCTGCCGTCGGCCGCGTTTCGGCTTCCTGCGTCGCCGCGGTGGCCGTGTTGGTGGCCGTTCCCTGGTGGAGCTGATCCGGCTGCTGTGCGCTGATGTGCGTTCTGACATTTGTAACAGGGACGGACGCCGGCACCGATACCCGAGTGGTGTCATACCTGTCAGCTGACGCGCCGCGCGTCCGTCTCGCGGTGGGTGGGTGGGGCCCCCACCGTGGGGGAGGGGGCTGTCGACGAGATGAGCTGAACTCCGCTCTTAATGCGATGTTGCAATGCGTCGTGCGTCAACTCCGTGCTCCGTGCCCGCGCCCCGTGAGAGCCGGGCTGTGGAGGCCGCCGGCGGGCGGGCCGCGCTTTGGGCGCTGCCGACGACGGGCCATATGTACGTAAATGTCTCCGCAGCCTCTGTATTCGGTTGGTGGTGGGTGACGACCGCTGGCATGCCGGAAGGGCTTGTGGTTCAGAATGGTGATAATGATCTAGTTGATATGCTATTTATGCAGTTTCATGTGCTCTTTACTGCATCTTTTGTGGGCGGATCGCGGAAGAGTGGAAGTGTGATGGATGACTGGACTGTGGCAGTAATGCTGTTTATTTGACAATAAATGCACTTAAAAAAAAAAAAAAAAAAAAAAAAAAAAAAAAAAAAAAAAAAAAAAAAAAAAAAAAAAAAAAAAAAAAAGATAGTGTCCACCGCTATCGGCACCGGTTCCAAAACAATCTCCCCGCCACATGGACGAGTTAATGAAGAAAATATGGAAATAAGGCTATTGGGAGGTTAATGAGAGAATGATAGAAGACTAAATAAAATACATTAATTCATTATTATCCACTTTTAAAACATAATGACCATATTCATCGTCCATGAAGCATCATAAAATGTACTTACTGGTGCATTTATCACCATAATAAAGGCAATTCTAACACTAGGCAAATAATACTTTACTGACGCCGGATCATGACATTCATCGCATTAAATATCATGCTAATTGTTTCGTCTGCATGGCCTCAGTTTTGCCTCCCTCCAGTTCCGCTGGCAACAGTCACGAGTGGAATGTGATTCAACGTCCACGGCGCATCAAAAAGTCGTCCACGGCGCATCAAAAAGTACGGCGTAGCAATGTTGACACATTGTTTAGAATGGTACCGGGACACCAAGAAAGCATCGCCTGCCCATCCCCGAACCCGCAATTTCATTTCAGGTGCCAGTCACATCACCCGTGACATACCTCACACCGTGCACACAGTCTCATTGTAGGGCATCAGTCACGTGACATTCTGACCCACCCTGTGCCGACAGGCTCATGTTAGGGCATCAGTCACGTGACACTCTGTCCCACTGTGTGCCCGCAGGCTCGTTTTACGGCACCAGTCACGTGACGGCGGCGCTGCAAGAGGCGCGCAGCAGCACCTCGGTCAGTCTGCGGTTCCGCACGGGCCGCGGCGACGCCCTGCTGCTGGTGGCTGCTGGACGGACCGACTACCTGCTGATGCTGCTGGAGGGCGGCCTGCTGAAGGTGAGGGAGGCCACCTGCGGTTGTCGGGGGTCCGCCCGGGTGCCCGGGGAGGTTTGGGGAGGTCCGGGGAGGTTTGGGGAGGTCCGGGAATATTTGGGGAGGTCCCGGGTAGGTCCAGGAAGGTCTCAGGAGGGAGGCCCGCAGGGTACGAGGAGGCCCGGTGAGGTCCGTAAAAGTCGGAGGTCCATTCGGGGGTCGAAAGGTCGAAGAGATCTGTCAAAGACTGTGTTTCAAACGTTACGTTTTATAAAAAGCCAAGATCGCTTCAAATTTGACGACAAACTGGAACGGCTGTTGTGTCCCATGGTATTCATAATTTGATAATTTTTCATGACCACTTTACAATACTTGATTAGATTCGAACACCGAGTAGACATCTTTTCCGTATGATTCAATAAAGATAAACATTAAATACGATTGTAATAGAACCATCTCTACCACTAATGCATTGCATCCCATTTTTAGCAGTCCGGGAGTCCCCGCCATCCTCGGCTCATATAAATAGGGTCGTTGACTTGGCCCGCGTCTATCGGCGCTGCCAGTGATGATGTCTGGCTGTAATTCCTACGTGATATTTATAGCCCTCCACACATAGATTATTTCGTCAAGCTATGAGCATTCTGTCAGTATGAATTAGTACACCAGAGATTAATCATGCAGCCGTACTCCAGCGATCGTGGTGGAACGACCCTGCCCCAGGGATGATGATAGTTGGCCCATATAGTGAGGTTAGAATGGTCCGGAAAGTAGCAAAGACATAGAATACCAATGAAAATGCATTTACCCTCTGCCGAATTGTAACTGTGTTGCATCTAACAATGAAACGTATTTTCACAATTAATTTCTACGGAGAATATTACGCCACCAAGCCTAAGAGCTCATGTGCAGAGAATAGTCAGTAGTCGCCAATATTCTTAGAAAGCCCCATCAATATCTTAAGACATACTCAATTATCTAACTTCACATGTGCCTGCGTTGCCTAAACCAGGAAGTCATCTAGTTACCAATTATTTCGTTTTGCTATAAGCGATACAAGCAATCCTGAATGATCTGTAAGTACCACACCGTACGACATGCCAAGCGAGGCATGACGCAAATTTCCAGGATCGCTGTTACGGCCTCGCCGTAGTGAATCAGGGAGTCATGCGGCACAGCCTGGGAGTGATGCGGCACAGCATATCTTCAGGCGCACGTATACTGCTGCCATCTATGAGCGGAACCGGGAGTTGCACCTCGTTACCGGTAGATACCAACCGCTAAACCGCATGTAACATTACTTCGAATAGAGGAGAAACGCCAATTCGGAAACTAGCCTAGTACAAAATATAAATCATGCATTTAATTGCTCTTTATATTGACGTTCTTCCACAGTAGCAAAGTCATAAATTAACTTAGACGTGCAATCATATTGGACATAGTGGACATAGCTACTCAACATGTTCTTAGCTACTTATTCGATATAGAATGACACTTCATATTTATCACAGGTAAATTTAAGCACATAACAAATTGTTTGTTCCGTTTCATTACATATTCATTGTTTCAAAAACATTCAACCGCAACCCACCATGGTGGGTGCACCACCATCAGAAGACCTGTCGACTGCCTCGCGCAGGACTCTGCGAATGAATACTATTTCCGTCCGGGGCCACAATTCCCGCGCCGTCGGTCTCTGATATCCGGCCGACGCGTCAGAACTTTTCCACGGAGCAGTAGTCGGCACCCCTGGCGACCATCGACTGACGACGCTGAAAAATCGACACCAGCTGCCGGAAAGCAGCTGTGCAGACAGAACTGTGGAACAGGCTGCCCCCGTGGCAGCGGCTGCGGCCGAGACAGACCGACTGTCGAGTGATCTCCATCGGGTTGTGTCGGATCGTCGGCCGGTCGTGCCGTAGAGCCGAGTCGAGCTGCCAGTAGTGGTGGAGCCGACCGGGAGACGGTTCCGTTCCGACGAGTAACGGCCACTCCGGCGCGGCGGCACAGTGATTCAGCCCGCTGTTTGAGCTCGGTACGACGCCGAGTGACGGACGGCGCAGATGAAAGTGTCCCCGTCGGCTGGCCGTCGACGTCGACACGGGCGCTGTGCCGGGGGTCACCGCTCGGTTAGCATTCCTCTCAACCCACGGCGTTCGCCTCAGTGCTGTCCAACGACCGACCTGCGCTTTATGAGACGCGCCCGGAGCCACCGAACGGCCGCTAAATTAGTGCGTTCCTCTCCGACAGCGCCGGACCCCTGCTCTCCACGGTGTCTACTGCATCATATTCACGCCCTGGTCGGAAAATGTCACCGCCGTCCATCAGACCGACCTCCCTCCACCGGGGATAGTGGACTCGTCTAAAATCGGCTCGGCGCCTCGGGCTCTTTGAGGGCGACTCGTAAAGTGGCCGCTCGGGCCGGCGGCCGGCGATGTACTCACCGATAGGGCAGGGCGGTGGCCGCCGGCGTCCCTGTGCCCGTCGGGGTCCGCTGGTCCGCAGCGCTGGTCGCTGGTCCGCTGGGCGCTGTCTCCGTTGGAGAGGGAGAGTGGCGAGATGCCAATATCCAAAGCTAGTGGTGGTGGGTATTGTAGACGAGAAACCAGCCAGGCTTCCACCTTCAGAAGAGCCATTGACGAAGGAGGGTGAATCCCGCATTGTGGCCTTGAGTGCATTTGACGTGAGCGAAATCTTTTGTACAGGAATGGATTATTCTATTCAATATGAATTGGATGGGCAGGCTAAAATTATACATATTACAAAGTATTCGTTCCGAAAATAAAATAGAGAACCTTTTGCGTGATGGGCATTCTAAAGAATTGCCAGAAAATTATTATTCAAATATTAAGAAAGTAAATATAAAAAGACACCGTGACTTCACACCATTTCTTGATAGATTATATGCCATGCTACTCACTAATCCGAATGTGCACCATGTCGCTTTCCACTTGCTGCTTGCTCTGTTGCCGATCTAAGTGGCTGCCCATGTCGCGTCGCGTTGTGGGACCCGACGGCATGATGGCCGCTCTCCGACCGACGACATTAGCCGCACCAGAGCCATTATTTGGCTGTGAGTCCGGCGGTCCGGTGTGCTAATTAGTCGGACTAATCTACTCCGGCGAGCTCTCGTCGTCGCTGCTGGACAGGAGTGGGGTGGGAGGGAGGGGGGATCGTCCGGCTGCCGGATGGGCAGCATCCCAGCGTGATGTCAAAGGGCAATTGTTACTGCTCGGTCAATCAATTGAAGCAATTTCAATGTCAGATGATGAATGCATTGGCCGGATCGGTGCTCCCACTGATGAGGAGGAGTGGAGAGGAGAGATAGAGAGGAGAGAGAGTGAGTCTTTAGGGGATGATGTCAACCAGGGAGACGATGTAAACAGTTCAAGTGATTTGTCTTTGCCGCAGACTTTGCCACTGGTTTCAGAAGCTCTCCATCATCTAAGAAAATGTCAACGAAAAGGAAGAAGGCCATAAAGCAGCCTGAAGGGCATCAGTTTTAAATTATGAACATAGAGCCTCCACCACCACACCACCGATATCCAGCAGTGTCATAACACAAATGTCACGGCATAAATATTGCAACTCCCAGACGAAGAAATCATTCGGTCGCAAATGCAACGAGACCGCTCCATTCCCAGTATGGCAGAGCCTTCCCGTTACAAATCACGCTGAGCTGGGCTTCAGTTGGTAATTGATCAAGTCATGTGAAATTATCCCTATTCATGCGATAGGTAGGTAGCAGCAAAATCAATCTTAAAGGCAGGCTGAAAATGACAGAAACTTCACCTGTAAAAACAATACCACCTGCATAGAAACTACTGATGGGATATATTGTGGTATTGGCCAGGGGCGATGTCACAGTGAAAATACTTTAACTGGTCATTGGGAAATATGGGAAACGTTTGGGAAACATCTGTGACATAGAGACGTTACCCCTGGTTCCAGAAGCACTACAACACGACTGAAGGGGGACAAATAACTATTGACGTTTTGAATCGCACATCACCGCCGTTGTTCTATCTCTTCAATCAAGGTAACTAAATAAGACCCGACCCAGAATCTGTCCCCAATTCGCCATCCGCGCAAGGCACGTCAGAGACACGTCAGCAGTGCATCATTTGCCGCCACCTCGGCTCGCTACGGGCGTATTCCTCACGTCTGAGAGCACCTCCAGGCGACAGCCCCCCCCCCCCCCCCCCCGGCAGCGGTCTCCACTCGGCGGGGCGTCTTTGTGGCGGCGCGGTTCGTCGCGTTCGGACGGCGCGGAGGGACGCGCCGCTCCCCACGCCGCTGTCGACCAAGAGGGATGGGCGCTCTTCCGGTGGTGCACTCCCCCCGCCTCCCCGTCGGTGCTCCTGTCGGCAGCTGCCGGCGTCGGCACCGACTATTAATATCGCCGGGTGCGCCGGCGACACCCGAACAGCTGACGACAGGCGACGATATTGGAGGGTCGGGTGCAGGAGGTGCGTCCGATCGCGCCGCGACGTCGCCGCCGTCACCACAGTCCTCTGCGCGGACTCCCCACCCGCAATGATAGCAGAGTGGAGCTCTCCGCTGTGTGGCGGCAGGGCAAAAACAACGCATTAGCTTCCGTCAACCTAATGAACCCGGAGTCATTTGCCGTGCCATCCCATTCTCTTTAACACGGCGCACGCCCAGGTCAGCTCGGTCTTGTTGGTACGGCCATTGTCTGCTTTGTAGCCAGGTTTTTGTGGTGTTTCTTCCCGTGTTTTGTCCCACCTTGCTCATTATTCATTTTGTCTTTATTTTTACCGCTCGCTTTTCTCTTCACCCCAGCTTTTCCGCGCGGCGCAACTTCTCCGGACGTGGGTCGCTCCACTATGCCGACTTCTCGTCGCTATTATGACACAGCCGTCGCCAAGTCTAGACAACAAACGGACTGGATTGGGGCCGTCGGCGGCCGATGTGGCCACTCAGGACCGGGCGGCACTCGAGTGCGGACGGTGCGTGGCACGAGAGGCCTCTCAGAGGCGGGCCGCCCAGCGAGGGACATTGAGTCTGCCGGACCACTCGGCTCTCCGCCCGCCTCCGTGTCGGCTCCCAGGGAATTCCCGGCGACCGCGGAAAGGCAGGCCGGCGAACACCGTCTTTCTATAATGTGTCATATCAGTGGGATCTGTTGTGATAATGGAGCATGGGTTAGTAGTTTCAGTTTCCATTTCAGCTTCCTTACCAATGCCATTTGGCAATTTGTCACCAAGAATTGAAAAATTGGAAATATCTTTCCAACAGTTTGGTAACGAGAGATAGAACAGCATGCTAGCCATGCACAATCTGACACCGAATTGTGTGGGTGTTTTGAAGTTGCGGAACTGTAGTGAAATTAAAAACTACATAAATGTTTATGACGATCACTGCGTTATTAAAAATACCACACAAATGACAAACATAAACAACATATCCAACCGTACAAAACTGAATTGTTTCACTCTCAGACAAACAAAAAATGGCCTCGTTCTACCGCGGTGGATTCTCAATATCGTCGCTTCCCTGTCGGCCGACTGAATTTGTTTGCGAGAACAGCCGCGAATCCTGCCAACGCATTGCCGCGGAACGACGGCCTTGTTTTCGCAAACGGCTCCACATCCGATAACTTATTCCGGTTCGAGCGACTGGCCGGAAAATTGAGGTGTCTCCCGGTATCACTGCACATTCTCCGTGATGGACGTATCTCCTCGCCCAATTTCTTCATACCGGGATCGTCAGCCTGACCGCGAAACTACAATTGATTCGAAATACTGGTCTTCGATATTCACAAGCTTGATCTTTTTTGAGGAGCTAAAGATAATGAAAAAATGGAATAATTTTGCCGGGATCCAAATGGATCTATGAGGATCCACATTCAATCGTGTTCCTGCTGACCGGGACCCATATTTCGCAGTTTCTATCCGTCAGGTTAGGCGATCAAATCGACCGTTTCGTAACTGTTTTATTACGAGAGCTTACCATTTTGTGCCTGTCCGAGCTTAGCATCAGTATTGTGGCATGCTGTTCCACATTGCCATTCCACACTTTCTCGGAGTCCCGCGGTACTCCATCCCGTTGCAGGCAGGTCAAGGCATTCCATACAATCGCCTTAGGGGACCATCAATCAGCATATTATTTCTCTGATAACCCGAATAACGATGTGTGAAGATAAATGGCGATGCCAGAGGGCGGTAGAGCGGGCGATGCGAGAATCCTCCAAGATCAGATCACATGCTATCGCAGATGGTGTGCACCTATGCGGCCGATGCAAACACGTACGTCAGAGAATAATAATAATAATAATAATACTAAGTTATTGATGCAAAGCATCTAACATAATTAAAAAGCCGATTTTGTGTCACATGCGACGTAAAAGCATGCGTCCGAGAAGCATAACTTATTCATCAGAAGTGAACAGCATTGCAAACGGGTTCACGTTGTTAAATAATCGAATAAATGATTACCTATGCTTAGTCATAATTAACATCAAACAGAACAACTTATATTGATGGTGGTAGGCACAAAGCAGCCAGTCATTGTAAACATAGACTCAAACCAAAACCCGTTATGAAGAGGGCGCAAATAAAGCATGTCTGTTATCGGCTATAGAGCCGTCAGGCAAGGGCTTAACCCTCGCCCATGTAGGGGGGGGGGGGGGTTGGTGCAACCCCCCCCCCCCCCCTGAGGTTTTTCGGAAATAGTACAAAAACGGCGGCGCGCAGCGCCGCCAAATTTTGGGTACCTTATGGGGCAAACCTTGCGCATCTTTTGATAAAAAAATTTGACCGGGTCATGTCAGGTCACGGAGTTATGACGTCACAAAGGGAACAGCCTCCGGCCGGATTTTCACAAACTGAGTGCCAACGCCCGAGGTTTCCTGCCGGTGGTACGGACATCGGTTGATGGATCGTGATGAAACTTCCCATGCATGTTGGGGCAAGTATTGGCTATCATATGGTATAAGAAACTTGACCGGGTCAGGTCAGGTCACGGAGCTATGACGTCACAAGAGGAACAGCGTCCGGTACTATTTTTGAAAAGCGCCCGAACCACTATTTTGCTAATTCTTGTCACCTCAATGGGAATATGCAGCAATATTAGCTTCTATAGGGAGCAAATGGACCTCCCAAATCCAAAAATACAATCAGATTTCAAAAATTTAAATTTTGATTTTTCGAATTTCTGCCGCCGACTGTGACCTTGCCGACTTCCGGCGCTCCCAACGCGCCATTTTTAGAGCTAGGGAAACGAAATACATACCAAACGATAGAGAATTGATCAAGGAACACGATAGTGAAGGTTTCAAGTCGATATCTCCCACCGTTTTGCCGCAATCGCCACATAAAGTTGAAAAAGTCTATTTTTCCGAAAATTTGACCTTTGACCGGTCAAAAGTAGGTCAAATATTGACCTAGGACCAAAAAATATACCACCAATCGCGAGATCTCGTTGAGAGCAATCCGTTGGTCTTTTCCGCTAAGCTCTACGACGCTCCGTTTTCAAACGCCAAGGGGGGGGGTCGCACCAACCCCCCCCCCCCCTGCATGGGCGAAGGTGGCAGATCGCCGTTTACGGGCGAGGGTTAACACGCTATCCAATTTAGTGTGATATTTCTCTTCGTTTTATAGTTGCTAGTTAGCCTTCCAACTATCAAGACTACATTAGCAGTTGAGTGAAGATACAGAAACTCCCTGATTGCAGCCATTTATTTTGTAAGATTTCATTTGGTCTCGAAAGAGGTCATTCCACTCTGCGGAAGCCGAATCCTTGGCCGTAACGAAGAGATGATGACCTTATTGTCCAGGGTAGTAAGTTGTTACGACGGACGTAGTGGTAGCACATGGTCGCTTGTGGTGGACCCATGGAGACCCAGCTACAATACTATACTAAAGAGACGTTTACGGAAGAGTTTCTGTAGAGCAGTGTATATAAACAATAAGACCCTGGTAATTTGACCCGTATGTTGATAATTGGTGACATCTTGGGACGGCACTATTGGCCGATGTGAAATATCATTTGAAAGGTGTCGTTAGGACTTGGATATTGACTAGACAATACATATGTTTAAAAAAGACTTATTCCTGTGCTCTACCATCACCCCTGCCTTGTTTGGACCGCATCAATTCCAGCTACTCCCTGATCGGACCTGACGGCATGCTTGTGTGTTTGCAGGTGCGCATCAACCTGGGCGCCGGCGAAGGGGAGGTGACCTCGCCCAGTGACCGGCGACTGGACGACCTGCTCTGGCACGACGTCCAAGTGCAGAGGAACAACGCCGACCTGGCTCTCACCATCGACGGTGTGCACGTCACAAGGTCAGTATCTAGTGACCTTACACAGCGGGCGGTGACGGTTGCACTAAAAAGGAACTTTGATGGGTATTCACGGCGCTAATTATCGATGGAAGTACGGCATATGATGGCCCATAATTAACTAAGGCCAGAAGTTCAAATAAATTAATTTGAGGCATATTTGTTCACAGGCAACTGTACAAAGGCCAGCAATATTTGTGTTTGTTTTCAAAGTTCTTCAATAGCGTTCCTCATCGGGACTGACGATCAATACATCGCGGAGCAGCCATCACTTCTGAGACTTGCAGTTGCTGAATTGATGCGAGACCTCTGATTGATTCATCGCGCAACTTTGGCTGTTCAACTGCCAACTGGGTAGTCCAAGGCCGTTGCCGAGCATTTACCAGAGCCACTTCAGTTCAATAGTTCGCATCCGATACTAGACAATATATTTTCGTTTCCAAGATTATTAACTGAATTATTTTAGTAGCTTCAGATAGATTCGCTAACCGCTATATTAGCCATTCGGGAGGTTAAAATCGAACGAAGGTATGGCAAATTGATCCGTGAAATTATCATCATATAACTAGCTGCAGCAGCGTTTTCGCCACAACTACTTTAAAGCGCATATTCTCTCTTACAGGATCGAGCTGCCGGGACGATTCTACGAGCTCAACATTCACTATGGCGTATTCGTGGGCGGCATGGGTGACTTCTCGGAAATCTTCCTCGGCCTGCTGGACAACTTTCGCGGCTGTCTTCACCAGGTGCGCTTCAACGAGGTGGAGATCCTCGCGCAAGCACGCGATCGCAACGCCGCACATCACGTCACCTGGGGCTGTGACAAGCAGTTCGACGCTGACGCCGATGTTTCAATGAGCTTTGTCGACGAGCGGAGTTACGCGATGATGCCGTCGCTGCTGCCGCGGGTAGGAGGCACGATCCGACTGGACCTGAAGACGTCCGTTGCCGACGGTCTCGTGGTGTACAATGACGCCGGTCGACGGGGCCCCGACCACCTGATCGTGGCGCTGCGGGACGGACGACTGAGCATGGAGCTTCACAGTGCTGGTCGTACTCTTCAGCTGGACAGCAGGATCGCCATCAACGACGGCGTCTGGCACAAGACGCAGCTGACCATCAGTGCCGAGTACGTCGAGCTGACCGTTGACCAGACGCTAACGAGCGTCAAGCCCGAAAATCAAAGCGACTTCAACGCGTTCATCTCAAACTTCTTCGTCGGAGGTCTCAGTGAAAAGAACAGGTTGCGCGCCTCGAAGCAGGGTATCACGAACCTACCTCTGGATTTCCGCGGCTGCGTGCAGAACCTGCTGGTGAACGGGGAGCTCACCGGGTTCCCCAGCGTTGTGGAGAGTCTGGGCGTTCGTGCAGAGTGCGTCTGGGAATACCCGTGTCTGCGTGATCCATGCGTGTCAGGGGGTGTGTGCGTGCCCCAAGGTGTGTCTGAGTTTCGCTGCGAATGTGACCAGGCAGTGTGCGTTCGTGCCGACTTCGCCGGTCAGCACGACGTGTTCGCTGACACACGGCTCCCCGACGACCTCCAGCTGTTATCGCTGACGCCACTGTCTGTCCCAGAGGGCGGCGAGGTACTTCTGACCAGCGCCAACATTCACGTGGTGCTCGACTACGAAAAGTACGGCGTGCGCGACTCGGGTGTCTTCTTCCACGTTCGTGAGCCGCCAAAGCAGGGTGCCCTCAGTGTTGATGTGTGGCGGCGTCCCGATGAATCAGTGTTTACCCTGCTCGATCTAATTTCCGACCGGGTACACTACCTTCACGGCGGTGACGAGAGCGCACAGGACGTCATCGTCTTCGAGCTGGAGCTGTTTGCACGCGCGGGCTTTACGCTCCCCGAGTATCTACAGGCGCGGCACCGGTTCGTCCTTCAGGTGACCGTTTCGCCCGTCAACGATCGGCCCCGTCTTGTTCTACCACCTGGTGCATCGGTGCGCATGGCGGCCGGCACGCGGCGCACACTTGACTCCGACATTCTGCGTGCTGAGGACCCAGACAGTCGTCCGAGGCAGCTAGTCTACACGCTGACAAGTCCCACCGACGTGTCAGGGCATGTCGAACTCGACCGCCATCCTGGGGTGCCAGTGCAGTCGTTCACACAGGAACAGGTGGACGACGGTCTCGTGCAGTTCGTGCATGAGGGTAGCGACGACACAAAGTTGGCCCTCCGCGTCTCAGACGGCCAGGCAGCTAGCGACACAGCGGTTCTCAAAGTAGTGGTGTTTCGACTGGAGGCGGTACCTGCGAATAATACGGGCTTGCGTTTGACGCACGGTGCCAGCGCCCTCATAACACCAGCCAATCTGTCATTTACAACCAACGCGCAGGAAGAAGACATGGAGATCAAGTACGTCATTGTCAAACAGACTCAGGACGGCAAGATACAGAAGTTGCGAGGAAACGGTCGCTGGCAGCCGACCGGTCACTTCACTCAGCGTCACCTTCAGAGGGGTCGGGTACGATACCGCCACACCTCCGGCACGCCAACTCATGACGGTTTCAAGTTTCAGGTGACGTTGCGGGATTCTCCACGGCCTACTGTCTACGATTTCAGAATAGAGTTTTTGTTGGTCAGCATCAAGTTGACTGCTAATGTCGAGTTGGTTCTTAATCGTTCCCAAGAAGCTGTTGTCTCAAACAAGTTTCTTCAAGCTGATGCGCTGCCGTTCTCGCAGCCTGCAGCAAATATCTCCTTTGTGATGGTGTCAACGCCGCGATTTGGAGAGCTGTTCCGACTGGAAGGTAGCCCTGCGCGACGACAAGTTCTGCCTACTGGCGCAGTCTTCACTCAGAGGGATATCGATACAAGCCGTATTCTATACAGACTTCATCGAAAGTCGTACTCAGCTTTTACAGATCAGTTCCGATTCCGGGTACGCATCCCTGGTTTTGAGTCTCAAGTGCATGAATTCAATATGAGGCATGTGCCCCCGGCACCAAAAGGCATGATCTCCATCAAAAGGATTGAGGTTGGCGAGGGCGATGCGGTTGCGATCACCCCGAAATTAATTAGCATTGAGATTGACGGCATAACAACCGTGTTCTACAACGTGACTGATCCGCCACAGCATGGTAAACTGCGTTCAGCCAGCGACGCGGAGCCGCTCGCACACTTCACATCACAAGAAATGGCCGAAGGTCGCGTATTGTACGCACACGACGACTCGGAGCACCCGAGCGACACGTTCTCCTTCGTCGCCACCTCGCTTAACCCGGACGATGATTTTCAGTACGTCGGAGCTGCCGAGGTGGTCGTGGTCATGCGGAACGATAATGCACCGCGAAGAACTGCGACGAGGACACTGTATGTGGTGCGCAACGGTCGGCGTGCCGTGCGACCTGCAGAGCTCATATTCTCGGATCGCGATCTCTACACGGAGCCTTCAGACATTGAGTACACACGTCGCGGGATCCCGAACGGAGCGCTCTATCTGCACCCGGACTACAACACTGAAGTGTTCCGCTTCACCCAGTCGGACATCGACTCGGACCGGCTCGTGTTCCAGCACGCCGGTGATGACCGGGCGCGGCTCGTCCTCTGGGTATCGGACGGCACACACTTCACCACCGGTGTGCTCGACGTCGTTGCATCTGCCCCGTTTGTACGGCTCAACACCACCGAGACGCCACTGACAGTGCCTCGCGGAGACACAAAGCTGATCACCGCCGATGCGCTAAGACCGGAGACTAACGTGGAGGTCACTGATGAGAACGTACGGTTCGCGGTGACGACTCCACCGCAGCGCGGTCGTCTGAGGGTAAGCGGCGAGCCGGCCAAAGCGTTCTCCTTCCGGAACGTGCAACTGGGAGCCGTAGAGTACGAGTCGAGCGGAGGCTCGGGCACGCAGGACTCTATCCACTTCGCGGTGCAGGTGGGCAAGTTGAAGTCGAACGGCTCACTGCAGTTCCGCATCTTCCCGGAGAGTTACTGGGAGCCGCTACGGGTGGTGAACAACCGCTCAGCTCTGGTGGCCGAGGGTGAAATGGTGACGGTATCGCAGTCTCTACTGCACGTCATGCACCCGAACGTTGCACCCGGGGACATCCGCTTCACCGTCACCCGCGGACCTTCGCACGGTTTCCTGATGCTACGCGGTCCTGACGCACGTCCCAAGGTCATCACATTCGACCAGGCATTCATCAATGACGGCAACCTCAGCTACGTGCAGTCGGTGGCCAACGCCACCGAGGACAGCTTCGAGTTCAGTGTGACCAACGGCATCGTCAGCCTGCCGTCGCTGCTGTTCCGGCTGCTCGTGATTCCGGTGCAGGTGCGACTGGTGACCCGCAACCTGACACTGAGCGAGGGCGGTCGCGTGGCGCTCAGCCCGCACGCGCTCACTGTCGCCAGCGAGTACTATCGGCGCAGAGTGGCCGGCTTCGACGTGCTGAGCCGGCCCCGTCACGGCCGACTGGAGCTGGCCGGTCGGCAGGACGTCAAGCTGCAGCACTTCACTGCTCAGCAGCTCAGCGACGGACACGTCACGGTGAGTGCCAGGCGCCGCCGTACTTGATCATGCAGGATACAAAATAATAGTACTATCATGCAGTACACAAATATGCATTAAAACGGAGCATATTGAGCTAAAATTACTGGCATGAGAAGTTTTGAGATCAATAAATATCAACACCTAATGTGTTTATAAATGCTATGATAGCATGCTTATTGGTGGACATCTTTAACTTATTGTTCAGAGTTATAGCTTTTTTAGTAGGGTAGCCTGGGGCAAGACGCCCCAGATAATTTATTTTGCTACATGACTTTTGTCCCACATAACCTGGAAGGCCAAATTTGTGCTCAATGCGTTCTTTGGACATTTTACTTTAAATTCCACCCCTCAAATTCATTCACTTATGATCGGACTCCCAGCTAGGAAGTGGTTTGTGAAGCAACTGCAAATAGGGCGTTTTGCCCCAACCCCAGGGCAAAACGCCCCACGGCCTGGGGCAAGAAGCCCCATACTCTAGATTAAAGATTAAACATGCTAGTTGACTAAATCTTATATGAAAGGTTCGTTAGACCTTGGGAGGCATGGCACTGAACTTAGCACCTGCCAGTTCAGCTACGACACTATTGTATGAGCAGGTTTTTCACCTGCCTCATAAGGCCAAATAATTAATTATTGCAATGCAAATGTTAACAAAATACTTCCTTTGCCATCCAGTTTCTGAGAAAAGTACATATAAATGCATAGAAACATACCGTTCGCCAGCTACCGAACATTAGGAAGTGGGTAGTCCGAACAACACATGAGGTAAAATGCCCCATGGGGCTTTTTGCCCCGCGACCTACTGGGGCGTTTTACCCCATCACGTAGTTCGGTCAGAGAACAACGCCTTGCACTCCAGGAAGACGTAATTTAACACGAACCAACCCGGCATTATAAGCGTTAGACAATAGTTGTTCAAAATACATAAAAGTCGTTAACCTGATGTGGACGATAAAAGAACGCCATGATGCATAATCTGACAACAAAACATAAAAATCACTCCAAAAACACATTTTTGGTTATATCTCCCTAAAGAGTCATCACAATTTATTTCCAGTCTGCTCATATAATGATCGTATAGTGCACGTTTTATAGAAGAGAGCATGTTTCCCCAGAACCTTGCCAGTTCCGAGAAACATCGGTGAGGCGTTTTACCTCGGCGGGGCGACTTGCCCCGGTCTACCCTACCATAAATACCCCACAAAACGGCGAAGAGTCTACATGGCATTTATGTAAAGCTAAAACGGGCTTAATTGATTGGTAATTGTCGGAGCTCTTCAGCCGACACTCAGCCAGTGACACCTGGATTGATACGGCTTCCCTCGTCCCTACCCAAGTCACCGCCGATGGCTCAAATTAGTCAGCGAGAATGTGGAAAAGTCGACTGTGTACATGCTTGTACAGTGGAATGTTCAATAACGCGCTATTGCATTTCTTCTGAAAGTGGTAGGTACATGTCGACGCTGTGGGATGCGAAGATTTCATAAACATTACAACTCAACAGGATGCGAAGATATTGGCATCAGTTTGGCGAAATAATTGGCATTCAGCGTGGGCTATATTGGTCTGTGATATGTAAGTTATATGCGATGGTAGAGAGCCGCACAGACCAGCACTAATATCTCTGGATATGATATCCGATATTTCTTTTACATGTCCAACGTCCAATTAAAGTACCGAACGGTACATCAAACAACGTAAAGGTTTTGGCAAACTGGCATTTTTATTATAGTTGTTGGCAAACAACAGCTCGCGATGAGCTCTGATCAGATTTAGGCTTACCGGAGTCGAAACTCGTCGTTGACTCGTCGTCCCTAGGGAGAAAAATTGTTACGTGTTTGCAGTACCTATTTATTATTTCTTATTCCCTTAGTGTATTATTCACACTGGAGAAACAAAATGGCAAATCTGAACTTCTTTAAAGGGACCCTCCCACCTTCAAAGTGGGGCATTCCACGATAGATCGACCAAAAAAAAAATTAAATTGACACCCTCATATTTTATTTTTCGCTCAAAATTGGTGTATAGGGTAGAAATGGGCGGGAAAGCCAGCTGTGGCAAGGATAATTTTTTTTTTTTGACCTACAGTTTTCGAGATATAGCCTCGGGCAATTCCTGGAGGTCACGCAGCAACCCTATGTTTGGCGGCTCATAACTCAGAAACTATTGATTTTTGTATAAGGATAACTTTATGTCTTCCAACTCAAAATTAACCAAGGAAACTTTTGGCTATCTCGGATTTTCGATTTTCGAAAATTTTGGTCACGTGACCTCTTGACCTATTTTTTGAAGAGTGACCTTGACACTTTCCCACCTGAAAGTTAAAATTTGGTCTGATGACGATTCAAGCCTTATCAATGGTCGTTCATATGCGACAATAAAAAACATGGCTATCGGCCTGCATTGACCTCAGGTCAGGTCATCTTTGTGACCTGCCCATTATAAGTCAATGGCAAAAGTACCGGCTAGGCCACTAAAACGCATCGGACTGGTACAGTTACTTCATAATCATACCATATTAGGTTATTATTGATCACTCTGGTGCAATTTTGCATCAGTGACCCGCGGAAAGGTCATCCGAGGTCACATTATGACTCACGACATTCATATGCCTTTTATGTCTATATCTTTTGATAGAATAGGTATAGGGATTTGGGAAACACATCAATTAGTTCACTTTGGCCAGGCGCATCATGCCATACGCAGCCTTATATGTTAAGGTCATTTCGTGACCTTGACCTAGGGTCAAATTTTGGTCAAATTTCATATTTGACCTTTCGAAATAAAAACTTATACAATTCGATCCGACTGGAAAAAGCAAACACGATGGCGCTATTTTATACATCTGACTTCATAAACATAATAAGATATTGGCGAAAAACGTTTTTATTCCGTGAAAAATGTTTATTTTCAGCCAGATTAAATAACAATATTTTGGCGTGGTAAAGGCATTCGAGGTGCATAGACACGTTGGCGTAAGTACTTGTACCTAAGCAATTCACGCTCATATGACTCGGTGTTGCGGTCATTTCTACAGGTACCAATCTAAAAAAAAATAGCATAGGTAGATATGTGATGATCAGCAGTTTCGTACATTTGGCATGAATAATAATCACTCACATAAATCACTCACAAGCTCGCTTCGCCAGGGCCAAAACTGTGAAGGGGACGAGACAGTACCACAGATTCTGTCCAGTTGACCTGACCACAGTCCGCGTCCACGAGCTTTCAGAAGATCGGGAGGGCAAGGAAGTCAAAGTGTCTTAGATAAGCACATACAAAGTAGACGAGCTTGGAAAGTTGCACTGTTGGATCGGACCAATGTTGTGTTGTGTTGTTGTGAATATGTTGTCGGTTTGCTGTGTGCCGTGCGTGCCGATTAGGGTGTACATAGGAAAATGTTTTATGTGAGTGATTATTATTCATGCCAAATGTACGAAACTGCTGATCATCACATATCTACCTATGCTATTTTTTTTTAGATTGGTACCTGTAGAAATGACCGCAACACCGAGTCATATGAGCGTGAATTGCTTAGGTACAAGTACTTACGCCAACGTGTCTATGCACCTCGAATGCCTTTACCACGCCAAAATATTGTTATTTAATCTGGCTGAAAATAAACATTTTTCACGGAATAAAAACGTTTTTCGCCAATATCTTATTATGTTTATGAAGTCAGATGTATAAAATAGCGCCATCGTGTTTGCTTTTTCCAGTCGGATCGAATTGTATAAGTTTTTATTTCGAAAGGTCAAATATGAAATTTGACCAAAATTTGACCCTAGGTCAAGGTCACGAAATGACCTTAACATATAAGGCTGCGTATGGCATGATGCGCCTGGCCAAAGTGAACTAATTGATGCGTTTCCCAAATCCCTATACCTATTCTATCAAAAGATATAGACATAAAAGGCATATGAATGTCGTGAGTCATAATGTGACCTCGGATGACCTTTCCGCGGGTCACTGATGCAAAATTGCACCAGAGTGATCAATAATAACCTAATATGGTATGATTATGAAGTAACTGTACCAGTCCGATGCGTTTTAGTGGCCTAGCCGGTACTTTTGCCATTGACTTATAATGGGCAGGTCACAAAGATGACCTGACCTGAGGTCAATGCAGGCCGATAGCCATGTTTTTTATTGTCGCATATGAACGACCATTGATAAGGCTTGAATCGTCATCAGACCAAATTTTAACTTTCAGGTGGGAAAGTGTCAAGGTCACTCTTCAAAAAATAGGTCAAGAGGTCACGTGACCAAAATTTTCGAAAATCGAAAATCCGAGATAGCCAAAAGTTTCCTTGGTTGATTTAGAGTTGGAAGACATTAAGTTATCCTTATACAAAAGTCAATAGTTTTTGAGTTATGAGCCGCCAAACATAGGGTTGAAGCGTGACCTCCAGAAATTGCCCGAGGCTATATCTCGTTAACCGTTCGTCGAAAAAAAATCATCGCCACAGCTGGCTTTCCGGCCCAAAACAACCCCCTAGACGAATTTTGAGCGAAAAATAAAATATGAGGGTGCACAGCTTTGGTCGATCTATCGTGGAATGCCCCAGAAGTTAATGAATTGGCATGAAAGTGATGTCGCTCGGTTCAGAAAGAGCAAACTAAACGAATATCTACCAAATTTCACAAAAAAATATTCACCGGTTTTCAAGTTATATACTTTTAATTTTGATTACTTTTAAATTTTAGGGATCTCCGCTGTTCCTAGCGACTTTATTTGGGAGCAATAATTTGGTAGCTGAAAGTGCGGCACTTGTTGCGCGCGCCGCGCAAAGCAGCTGGGATGCCACCACGTGTTACCAAACGTTTTAGTAAAAGATTTAAAATCGTTAGATCTGCGCTGACGTCACACATTCAGAGAGGGCGTTCTAATGCATTAGCCCTCTGAATCAAAATGATGCAACTCTGAAATTAGATATTTTCGATTTGAGGCATTTCTCGATGTTGTGAGTGCTCAAACCGGTAGGTGCAAGCCAGGGACCCCATTTTGGCTATCTCAACTCAAAACTAATGTTAAGGTGGGATGGTCAGTTTAACCCGCGCACCGACTTAAGGCTCTGGGCCAACTTAGTACCGACGGGGGGGGGGGCGGATGACCGCCCCCCTCCCTGAGATCTCGAGAACGAAGCAAGATAGCGACAAGCGGTAAACGGCATCGGATACGCACGGTCAAGATCTACAATTTTTACTAAGGTCATTTTCAGGTCAGGTCAAAGATGACGTCACAGGGGTCGAAAAAGTCAAAATGGCGGCGCTAAATATGGAGAGAGTTTTTCTCGAATAACTTTCGCATTAGTCAAGATAGGAACAAACTAAGGGCATCATCGTGATCCTCTCGTCAATCCGCATCGAATGATATATATGTTGACCTCGAAAGGTCAAGGTCAAAGGTTGACCTCAGGTCACGTGACCTCGAGGTCATCATGTATATCATTCGATGCGTCTTGACGAGCTGAACACAATGAGACCATCCACGCGTCTGTATCTTGTTCCTGTACGGAGTTATTGGCCAAAAACCTTTGGTGACCTTTGATGACGTCACATGACCTCACAGCTGCCCAACAGCAAAACAGACCTCAAGGTAGTGAAGGTTGACCGTATATGAAGTCATGTATGGTATATGGGGCCATTCCGACCCGTTTTAGTGGTAAAAACAGGGAGTTGATTTTTCCCCCATTGACTTATAATGGGGAGGTCGCGAAATTGACCTGACCTTAGGTCACCGATATCAAAATTCCGAGATATACAAATTGTAGCTACTAATGACCTAATAACATCCTGCGACTTTCAAAGGCCTCCGACATCTACTGTAGCTCTGGCACGGTGACAAAGTTGCAAAAAAGTGACTTGAGGTTGGGTCATTCAAAGTGACCTGGTGACCTGACCTTGAAAGGTAGGAGGTTCAAACTTGCACACCATGTGTAAAATTGATAAGGGAATAGTCATACCAAATTTCGCGGCGCGTAGCGCCGCGGTTTTCCCGTTATTCGCGAAAAACCTCAGGGGGGGCGGATATCCGCCCCCCCCCCGTCGTCGGTGCGCGGGTTAAGTAGGTACCTGCTTCATTATTTCAAAAAGCATTCGCAAGCGAAACGTTCAAAGGTAACTGTAAATGCAGTTGGTAATAATATCAGCATGGCGTGTATCACAACAATGTAAAACAACCAACAAGGCGAGGATGTCAAATCAAGGCTTTTTAGAGCAGGGTTAACTATGTCCTGCTCGCATCAAAAACCTCCTCTGCCAAAGGCGCTCTCGGTGGCCGTCCATTTCACATCACTCCCTCCCAGCTCTCAGCTCACTGAATATCAGCTCTCTGGGATGTCTCCCACTCCGCTCCGGATGGTCCCCATTTAGCACCCTCCGCCCACACACGCCGACAGGCCCGCTGTTATAGCTCAGTTCCTCCCACACCCCTGCTATCCTCCCGGGAGACCCGCGGCCGGAGAGGTCAGATAGACGGCCGACAGCGCCGCCGTTAGAATGATGCACCCTCTGCAGCGGTGCACCGGCCTCCGCCGGCCGCGCTGACAGACCAGCCCAACTCTGGCGCTCGATGGTGCCGTTCATTGGTCTCTGTGGTCCTCAGCGCGCCAACTTTGGCCGCCAACGAGCCACGAATGCCGCGCTCGCACAGTGGCTAACTCTCAGGCCGAGCCGCGGTGCCGCACGGCTGTTTGCTGGGAGACACGCCACCGCAGAGATTCGGGGACGTGATGAGACTCTTCAACCTCACATCAAGGCTGTTTTCTTAGATAATTTTGTGGTGGATTATAAGCGTTTTGTTATGTGGAGAGACATTTCCCTGAGGGGAAAGTGTAGCGCAGATTGCAGAATATATGATGTTCAAGTGTGCTGACTTCTGGGTTAGTTGTGACTTCTGCAGCAATGCATGGCACACCCAGAAAGCGAAAATATGGTCTGAAACCTCGTTTTTGTCTTTGTGTTTAATTTATTCGATAAAGCGAGGTGTTGTATAGTCAAAATAAACAGATTTGGTTTCAAATCATTTGATCAAAAATATATCAGAATTCAAGCCATTTGTATTCGACATATGTAATTTGCATAACAAATACAGGGTGTCCCAGAAGTCTTGAAGCTTTTTTATTTTTGTCGTGTGATCTTGTTATGCCACCGATTAAGGCAAATGATGCCTCAAACGAAAGAGAATGAACTGAAATTTTGTATTTTCATGCGTAGAGCACCACTTTAGTCAAGTGGCCCCCGTTGTGAGTCGCACAAGAACGAGCGCGAGAGATCGCGTTCTTCGCTGCCGCCAAGATCTCCCGATTTGCGAAACACCGGTGTCGCGATGCCCGTTGCTTGTCAGCTTCAGAGCCTTATTCCATGATAAATATATGTCGCAAATGTTATTTGTGACAGGTTGATATTTGTCTTAGCCCCATAATAATGCGACGAATCAAAGGATTAAAATGGGTTGTTGCTTAGCGCGCTCAAGCAGCTGAGCCTTATTTTCGTAGTGGATGCGTGAAAACATCTCAGAAGACTTCCTGATCAGTAAATCATTATGTTGCTAATGTTTTCTTGGGGTCTGGGGTCAATACGCTGTTTCCTGGCTCGCTTCATGGAATAAGGCTCTGAAGCTGACAAGCAACGGGCATGGCGACACCGGTGTTTCGCAAATCGGGAGATCTTGGCGGCAGCGAAGAACGCGATCTCTCGCGCTTGTTCTTGTGCGACTCGCAACGGGGGCCACCTGACTAAAGTGGTGCTCTACGCAAGCAAATACAAAAGTTCAGTTTATTGTCTTTCGTTTGAGGCATTATTTGCCTTAATCGGTGGCATAGAAAGGTCACACGACAAAAATAAAAAAGCTTCAAGACTTCTGGGACACCCTGTAGTTTCACATAAGCTGCTTTAGAAAGCAAAAACCATAATAGAAAACACCGTCTCTTGGCATCCTTGCCACTGCGTCAAAACACAAATATTGGAAGTCGCCTGTTTCAAATATGGTTCCACTTTTGCCATCAATGCAATGAGCCGAGACCAACAAAGCAGGCGGCATCCGTTTTGAGACTAACATGCATCGACGTTTTGACGAGCAGTTTCACAGAACAATCGTCCAGGAGATAGCGATTTTTATTACTTTAAAAGAGCCGACAGCTTTAGAAATTCGAAAGACTGCATAGATTCGGTCGAGCGAAGGGCCTGTTTAGAACGGCGGTGTTTATAAAAATTAAAATCCTGCATTGGTAAATGCCACCGCAACCACTCGGAACCAATGAAACCATTCTTCATGAAATCATGTAGCTAACCATGTAGGAACTCGTTTCCGATATCCCTTCAAAAATCGAGAGTTCTCCGAAGACTTCTTATCCGGAGGCCGGATACCGCACGGCGTTGCAGAAATTCCGTCGAATTTCGCGACAGCGCCTGACCTTGCGCGTGCGGGCGTCGCACCGACTCGGCTAACCGGCGCTGCTGATTGCATTATCGGCCCAGCGGCCGGAAAGTGCTCTGCCCCGCGGAGCAATTTCGCGGGCCCGCCGCCGCCCAGCTACCAGCTTTATTGGTTCAATGCGTTTTGGCGGAGGCGGAGGCGGGCCGCCGCGCCCCAGTGGGGAGGCGGGGGAGCGGGCGATTTACAATGCTGCCGGCGTTCAAGCCGCGATGTTTTCTGCTGCAGAATCGTCCGAGTCCGCCCACCAGTCGATACCTCCGGCGCCGCCGCTTATTGGAATGCATTGGTGTTGACCTTTAATTTGGCCCGCTTGATGTCTTCATTTACAGTTGGACGTAAAGACGGCCTCTTATAATTGATCTTAGTCTTACATCACTGAAGTCAAGTAATTTGAAAAATTGAACTAGTTTAGGAAATAGTATGAGCTGGCACCACACGATGAACCCCAGAATTCCACTGAAATGGTCTCTCAAGAAAACAAGCTTCTAGTCGAACTTGGTGCATTTTTTATACATTTGACCGGATTATGTTTTTTTTAACTTATGTTCCCACAAAAATATAAGTTTTTAACACACCTTCCCTCATACTTGGATACGTGCTTATGTGTCCTGGTCTTCACTGTCCCTGCGACACCCGCAGCCCTTTATTTCAAGTCATCCCCACTATCTATCTACGCACTAACCCCACTAAGTGGCACCCCCCCCCCCCCCCACTTCTCCGTTGCCTGCGCTCGCTGACCATCTCTCTCCATCCTCCAGTACGTGCACAGCGGTGACGAATCTCGCGGCGACTGTCTGACTCTGGTGGCCCTGGCCGACACCAAGACCTCGGCCCCGGGCCAGCTGTGCTTCACCATCAGTGGCGTCAACGATCACCCTCCCAGTCTGGTGAACAACACGGGGATCACCGTGGTCCAGGGCGGCAGCGTGCTCCTAACCACACACCAACTCGGTATGTGTATACTGTGCAATGTGTGCAATGTGTGCAATGTGCATCCATGGTCTGGATGTGCGTGCGTATTTAGTTCATGTGATGCATAAAGGCATGTTCATTGTGATAGAAATAGCGACGGTCATGAGGGAGTTCAGCTAAATCATAGCGCTGCTAGATGGGGTTAGAATGGTAAATTGATTGTTCGGATTAGGACAAGGATCGCCGCTAAGGTTGCCTGGTCGTCTTGAGAGCGAAACAATAAAACGATACGTTCTCTTTCACATCAGCTGATGCAGCTTCAGCAATCAACTGACACTAAGTCAATTGTGTACGCGATTTGATAGGGGCATGGACTGATAGGCTGCACAATAATTCCGCCCTCAATGCACCATGCGGGCGACCAGCATTCGACCTACAATTTCAAGGACAACTGTTCTACGCTGCAATCCCATGGCCAAATCAGAGAAATATCCTGAGGCACAGACTTCTCTATATATAGAAAAGTCTGTGCCTGAGGACGTACAGTTTTACTAACAACGCAAAGAAACAATGCTGTATCAAATTAAACTAAGTATTAACTTATTATGTACAGTTAAAATGACTGACATCATAATTAAAAAATTGAAGTCAAGTCGCCGATATGTTATTGGCATAGGCACCCTTATACCGCAATTTATGTCAAAGTGATACTCAGGCCATGCGATTCCGTGACGAAAGAAATACATCTCTGCCAAAGTATTACCCCATCGATTTTCAATAATTTATTATGAAAGGCTTTATGACTCGACGGCTACTTTATCATGATCCGGGCGGAGTTTTCTAAAAGCGCCGGATGCTAAAATGTAGTGGCCCCGATCGCTAATTCGAAAAGATGACTTCATGGCCGTTCTTGCAGTTACCGACTCTCCATCCCATATCGATTATACGCAACGTTGCGCTTTAGGGTCTCTTTAATCCAGCGTGGCCTTTGACTCCCTGCGTTGAAATTTAAACGTTTTTATTGTCTGGAGAAGACGACCGAGTCTTTCAGTTCTTTTCGCTTTTTGCCGTGGCGCCGGCCAAATTGAACAGAGTCGTCACGCCCCCGCCCAGCCTCTAAGTTGTTTGGTGACAGATCGCTGTAAACAGTTCCTTTTTAGCACATTGTCGGGGAGGCTGGCAAATATTTTCCAGCGTAGGATACCAACTAGTTGGTGACGACAAACACGCAATAAACGACAAAGGTTCTTTGTAGTCTTCTCAACTTAAAGGCGTAATTGATTGATTGCTTTCCTCGCAAAAGTGTGTATGCATGTAATTGGATCAAGCTGACTAGCCACAACCAACGCACCCCATTACAATTTCGAAGAATCTGCATGGATGAAAGCACCCATCCACGCGCGACTTTTGCAATACCCACACAATGCTGCTAGCTAGAATAAGTACCCACTACCCATTCCCTGTTCTCTGAGCCCACTGAAACCGACGTGCTTATTTAGAATGACGGTCGCATAGAAAACTTTTTCGGGGGATAACCGTTTTCGATCAGCTTGGTATCACCCACGATGCAAGATATGGCCAAACTGGCCTTATACATGCACAGGGATAAAGGTCAAAACATCATATATGTGAGACGGCGAGGCCAAAGTTCCTAGCTTTTAAAAAATATTGCAATCTCAACGCATTTAAAACAATTCCTGAAAAAAAAATGTGAGGCGGCGAGACTAAGATGCATAGATTTTCAAAAATATTGCAATATCAACGGATCCAAAACAACTCCTTAAAAAAATGTTTTTGGTTGAATAGACATGTGCGATACTTGCAAAATTCACCATTGTGACCAGTACGATTGGCAATGCATCGTAGGCCATGCATCGCGCCGCCTTCTCCGGCGGGGCGGTCGATGTGGCCAATACAGCAGATTGTCGCCGATATGTCTGGCCTGATGTGTCCCGCCGTCCCGGGGGCCGCCGGACGTGACAGTGTGCCCCGCGCGCCCCCAGACGCCGTGGACGCGGACCGGCCCGAGGAGGACCTGGTGTTCTCACTGGGCCGCTCCGAGTGCGGCAACATCAGCCTGCTGACGGCTCCCAACGTCACCGTGGCCAACTTCAGCCGCAGCCAGCTGGACGCCGGAGAGGTCGTCTTCAGCCACACGCGACCAGGTCAGTCGACGGGAGAAAGGGAAGCCTTCAGTCACATGCGAGTTGCGACTAGGGCAGTCGACGGGACAAAGGGAGTAATGGTGTTCATACCGGTCACGCATCTTCAGCTATATGCAACCAAGGCAGTCGACGCGGGAAGGGGTTGTATGGGAGTGACAACTGACAGGGTGGTAATTTCATCATCGCAATGAGCACACGTTGGGTATGGCGGCAGATCTGGTTATTGGTCTAGTATGTAATGTAACGTTTCAGAGCAAAAAACAAAAACAAAAACAACAACAAAACAAAAAATGGATCATGCATGAAATAGGTTTGGGTAGGCTGATAATGTTTATGCTTCCATTTAGATATAAAAAAATGATTTGAACCCATTGGAGGCTTGTTCAATGTTCGTATACCTAACCCTGCGACCATAGGCGGCGGAACGGGGGCACCGTCCCCCCTTGATTTTGCCATTTTAACATTAGCCCTATGGGCGTTACATGGAAAGAATGGGACCAAAGGTCGGCGCCCCCCACTTAATTGAAGGTGTTTCGCCGTTACTGCCTGCGACTCCTATTGTTCTCAGTAAGCGGTTTAGACAACGATCGACTCAGGATCCTATTTCACTCTGTCACCGACAGATGGCAGCGCCGTTGATCCTTTAGATCCGCCGGCGAACTAATTGCGCGCCGCTGACGAGGCTGTCGAACCCTCTTCCAATACCGCTCTGAAATTTATCTCAGCGACACGTGGCTGGCATCAGAGCACTCCTGCCCTCTACAGATGAGGATCAATCGACAGATGGCCTCCAAGAACTATTGATTAACCAATGGGATGCTCTCCGCGACCTCTTCCTGACCTCAGGGTGGTCACGCAGTACACTGGAATCTGGATATCGATAGGTATAAGCTTCCACGTGTGAAATTTCACATCACATTCAAGGCGAGTAGATCCAGGACGATTTCCAAACGGCTAAAGAAATAGTAATGAAAACGCAACCACTACCAATCATCCACATTCACAGTATTCGTTTTTTTCCAATGCCTGTGTCGACCCGACAATCATTACTTCGCCAAGGAAAGTTTTTGTTCCATGAGAAACACACCTCTGTCGCTGGGCAGCGGTGACCGTCCCAGCGGGCCCCGTGCTCGAATATACGGCGCGGAGAGCAGCTATCAATCATGATCTGTCACCATGTTTTCGTACTATATTGGCCTCTTTTAGCATCATTTTCTAGAGGATTGGTGATAATCCGTACGTTCCTTAAAAGCAGAAGCGCAGGCACCATGTCCCGATTAGATCATCGAACAATATTTCTGGATGGATTTAGCTGCTGATGGACTTGTAGTTTAAGAGCTTGTTTGCCGGCATTGCAGACTAAACATTCGGTTACCGGCTTACCGACTACCGTTCTTAATTATTTCGCCAACACACTCGTTTCCTGTGTAGTTCGGCCCGTTGAGTAACTATAGATGATCTCAGTAATGACAAGACCAGGGCGATCGGGTAAAGCGATGAACACAGTATAGGGCAGGCATTACCTCGGTCATCTTCGTGACCCGTGAGGCATACTCAATATCACCTGTCATAAAAGCCCCTGTGGAAGTCGATGCTTCACATAACCTAAGAATGCATTTTATTGTGCAGTGGCTAGTGCCTACGATGCTACTGCTAGGTCTTTTTCACCGTGTCGAGTTTAAAATTGTTCACTTCAGAAGATTCCAAATTGACTAGGGAAAACATACGGAAAGTGTCGCGACTCGCACTGTTCGGGAGCAACATCAAATATTCGTCAGGGGGCGCGGAAGGGGTGTCAAATATATCATACCCACCAAAAATCTTAATTCTACCGGAAAATGGTCAGACACAGGAGTCTTACGGTCCAGGCAGAGCACCGCACGGAACACAGCCATGGTCTCTGAGCGGACCACACGTTTTCCGGGTAGACCACACGGTCTCTGGTCGGAACACAATGCCTCCAGGCGGACCACACGGGTCTCCGGTCGCTCCCGGGAGAGGCCGGACCGGTCCGGAATCAGGGGCACGCCACGGCGGCCCGATTGGCTTCAGAGCTCCCTGGAGGGTCGTGTCGACGATCGACGGGTCGGTGCCGCCGCCACCAACGCCGCCGGCGCACCGCCGACCGACGGCGACCCGGACGAAACGACCCACCGACCGGGGCCGGCGGGGGATCGCTGGGGGCGCGGGGTACCCGAGAGGGGGGGGGGGCGGAGCAGCCGCCAGTCACGGAGAGGACCGAGACAACAGCGGCCGGCGGAGGACCGATCTCAGCGCGCGACACAAGTCGTCACTGCCAGCCGCGCCTGACGGACGGCCCGAGTTTGGCCGACACTGCAGCCGTCCAGTACAAACACGAGCGAGGACGTTTGTGCGATGGATGGCCGAATGCACGCTGCAGCGTCCTACATTTTCGGCTGATTTTCTGCTTCGCCTAGATTCGATTTTTTAAATAATAAAATGTGTCCTCTTTTCTGCCTTCTTCGAAACGGAGGTTTCAGAGAGCAGCTGAAAATGTAAGGTTTATGGCAATCACTGATTTCTCATGGTAACTGTTTTTAGTCTGGCCTCACCCCATGGCTACAGGGATAAGTAACTCACCGATGCATCATGTAAGAATACCATGGTGATACTCACACACATGCAATCTACGGTCTACATTCCATCAAGTTTCTAGAAGCTCAAGAAAGCCACGATGACTATAAATAAAGAAAGCAAGATGCAGAAGATACATGATCGGAAAATATATAATTAGGATCTAGGATTGGAACCTCCAAGACTGCCAGTGACAGGGGCCTCCCCAGACCAGTCTGAATAGTGGGGCCTCCTCAGATTCACTAGGGCCTCACAGACTATCAGTCTCAGGTGCCTCTGCTGACTAGTATGGATAGAGGGCCTCCTCGGATCCACCATGGGCGTCCCTTGGAGTCTGTGCGAGGGGATTCGCATTTCGCAGAACTCATTTTTACCGAGTAACGAGTTTGTGTATGCTGGAAGGAGACGACGTACCACGACGACGTCCTCTCAACTCGAGACAAAAGGGCCTCGAGTATCAAGTGGGAGGGGGACATATGGTTGCCCCCCACCAAACCCCACCCCACCCCACCGGCCACCTCAAAAAGTAGGCGGGCATTTGCCCACCTGCCCCCCCCCCCGTTCCTACGCCTATGAATTAGGTATCGGTACATCACCGGGTCGAAATCTCGCAGTCGAATCCTTTGCTGCTCCTGACCGAGCCAAGCCCCAGTCTAAGACTTGCACTTCTTCTGACGTGCGACGGCGGATCATCCAGCCACAAGCATTGACGCATCACTTCGTTCATATGTCATCAATTCACATTCACATTCACCACTCACCAGATCGCAATTTTACACTTGTTTCACCAACAACAGCACCAGTACCTCAATCATATCACTGTAGCAATAATTCCTGACCATATTTCACCCCGATGCGCGTAATCTTGCCAGAAATTAGCACACCGTGCACAATCACCGCCACCCACCACGCGCAACGCACGAGACTGGACAACAATAACAGACATGGCTGCCCCCTGTGACAGCACGCTGATTGGTTGAGCGCGTCACTCGTCTCTCAAATCGCCCCGGGCGGCGCCAACCCGACTCGAGACGGCCGCCGGGGAGGGGAGGGGAGGGGAGAGAGAGGACGAACCCGCATCCCACGAGATGGATCAGGAAAATCGATCGACCGTCGTATATAGGCATAGGGCCTTGGATCGTCCGTTCCGTCCGTTAGAAATCAAAGGTTCATGTTGACATAGCTTGTTTTCAGCCTCAAGAATGTCACGATGACTATTACCTACCTATATTCGTACGAGTAAACAGCTATTTCAATTTGAGAATTCGACCGATATATTGAGAAATATGATGATAAGGTAGGTAATCGTTGCAAGATAATCGCAAGGCAACGACCATGCCGAGATGTCTGAGCCAGGGGCGGTCGCAGACTTGGAGTTTGGGGGGGGCCAACTTGGCAAAGGGGCCCCTGCGCTGACCCGGGGGGCCCGGTGCTAGAAGGGGCCCACGGGCGTAGTGCACGGGTGCAGAAATCCAGGCCAAGGCCGGTGAAGCGGGGGGGGGGGGGTAGGGAGCGGCACCCGAGCGGAGGCTTATTGCGAGCTTTGAGGATGTTCCATGTCGAAAAGGTACCGATAAGTGCATTTTAAAGCATTGATAATGCCAATAACTCACGCAAATGTGAATGGACTACCGCAAAAGTAAAGACGGCTAACTTTGCCATTTTCTGAGATCATCGTGCTAAAACTTTTGACAGTGGGTCATCGGTATCTGTTCACTGTTCAATCACACGTGTTCCGTTTCATTTTTGTTTTTTAGGTACCTACTTGAGCACAAATGTAAGTTTTGAAGACCATTACAGTAGCAAATGCTTCGAAAGATGGATAGTGGGCAAAATATCCTAAATTTGTCGTGCTGCATGGAAAGTAGTGTTGCTGAGAAAAGGGGGTTTGTTCCAGATTATTGTGGATGCAGAATACATTGTCTGCACCCTATGCAGAATTATTGTTGGTGCAACTGCGCCCACTGCACCCATGGTTCCCACACTTACTTCGGCCCATCGATAGCGCTTCAGCGATACCTGTCGCCTAGAGGCTGCAATGGGGCCCCTATAGTACGGTGTCAGACCCCCAGAGGCCGGCGTTAGATCCAAGGGTCAGCGAAGGGCCTCAAAGGCCCCAGGTAGGGCCCCAGAGGCTGATGTGGGCCTTCAAAGGCAAGTGCGTGACGTCCAAAGGTAAGGCTTGAGCCCCCAGAGAACATAATAGGGCCATCAGTGGTCGGTGTAGAGACCTCATAGGCCAGTTTTGGGCCCCCTCAGAGGCTAGTGTGGGGCCTCAGGTGTCGGTATGAGGCACTTAAAGACCGTTATGGGTCCTCAGAAACTGGCATCGATCCTTCAGAGGCCAGTACGGGGCCCTCAGAGGCACATAAGGGTCAGTTTGGGTCCCAGAGACAGAAATGGGACCATCAGAGGCCGGTGTGGGACCTTTAGAGGCTGGTTTGGGTCCTTAGGGGCCAGTTTAGGGCCCTCAGAGACCAGTACAGGGCCTCCAAAGGGCAGTTTGAGACCATCAGAGACCGAATTGGGCACTCAAAGGCTAATCTAATGTGGGTCTTTACAGGCCAGCATGGAGCCCTCAGAGGTTAGCGTGGGGCCGTAAAAGATCGACATGGGCCGGCGTTGGACCCCAGAGGCCAGTAGAGGGCCCTCAAAGGCCAAGATGGGCCCTCAGAGGCCGATGCGGGCCCATAGAGGCCGGTATCAGGTCTTCAGAAACCCGTGCGGGGCCCTCAGAGGCTAAGGTGGGTCCTTACATGACAGCACGGGCCCTCAGAAGTCAGTGTGGGGCCCTAAAAGATCGGCATGGGCCGGCGTTGGTCTCCAGAGGCCAACAGAAGGCCCTCAAAGGCCAATATGGGCCCTCAGAAGCCGATGCTGACCGTTAGAGGCCGGCATCGGGTCTTCAGATTCCAGTGCGGGGGGCCATCAGAAGCTAATGTGGGCCTTTACAGGCCAGCATGGGGCCCTCAAAGGTCAGAATGGGACCCTAAAAGACTGGCATTGGCCGGCGTTGGACCCCAGAAGCCAGCAGAGGGCCCTCAAAGGCCAAGATAGGCCCTCAGAGTCCGATGCGAACCCTTAGAGGCCGGCATCGGGTCTTCAGAATCCAGTGCGGGGCCCATAGAGGCTAATGTGTGTCCTTTCAGGCCAGCATGGGGCCCTCAGGTCAATGTGGGGCCCTAAAAGACCGGTATGGGCCGGCGTTGGACCCCCAGAGGCCAGCGGAGGGCCCTCAAAGGCCAAGATGGGCCCTGAGACGCCGATGCGGGCCCTGAGCTGCCGGCATTGGGTCTTCAGAATCCAGTGCGGGGGGCCCTTAGAGGCTAATGTGGGTCCTTACAGACCAGCATGGGGCCCTTAGAGGTCAGTGTGGGGCCCTAAAAGGCCGGCATGGGCCGGCGTTGGGCCCCAGAGACCAGCGGAGGGCCCTCAACGGCCAAGATGGGCCCCAGAGGCCGACATCGGGTCTTCAGAATCCAGTGCGGGGCCCTCAGAGACACTTAAAGGTTAGTCTTGGGACTCGAGAGACAGAAATGAGGCCACCAGAGGCCGGTTGGGCCCCTGAGGCCGGTTTAGGGGCCCTCAAAGGCCAGTGGAGGGCCCTCAGAGGTCAATGTGGGTCCTCAGTGGTCAATGTGGACGCTTGACCGCCACTGAAGGGCCCTCAGAGGTCAGTGTAGGACCCTCAAAGACTGGTATGGGAGCTGTTGATGGCTGGCGTGGGTTTCTCGAGCCTCGTGACAATCGAATACGGGCCAGGGCCCCATACGGCCATGGGGGCCCATCGGTTGTTTGGGGGGGGCCAAATGATATGATGGCCCCCCCTGATTTGCCTTTGGGGGGGGGCCATGGCCCTGATGGCCCCCCCCCCCTGCGACCGCCACTGGTCTGAGCATACACAAGTTTACAATAAACCTATCTAAAATATCGGGCCGTAACTGACGTCGCTCCCCGTCTCTGTTCTTCAGACGTGTCGCGGTGCAGTGTGCTGGTGACGGTCAGTGACGGGGTGCACCGGACACCGCCCGAGCGGCTGATGGTGCTGGTGGAGCGGCTGCAGCTGCGACTGGTAGCCAACACCCGGCTGCACGTGTTCCCCATGATGCAGCAATCCATCACCAAGGGCCACCTGCTGGTGGGCACAAATGACCCGCGGACCCCGCGAACCATCACTTATTCGGTCATCAGGAAACCGCGCCTCGGAAAAATTACCAGGTAAGAGAAGCGACCGGGTTGGGTTCAAAGGGAGAAACGAAGTGAAAGGCGGAGTTTGAATCAGAACTTAGGTCATGATAAGGTAGGTTATAGGGGTAGATCACAGTTGGATCATGATGATAGCCAGGCAGTCCGAATCACTTGACCGGCTAAGCTCCAGGTCAGGTCAGTCTCAAGAGTCAACACTCACGTTCAGGTCAGGTTAGGAATTAGGATCATTACCAACTAACAGTATCAGGTCCTAACTGCATTATATCTCGCCATGATTTTGGGCGAGCACGTTCAAAACAAGCCTGGATATTTCATCTCAATGGTTCGAAATCTGAGCGGCGCGGTCTCTAGCGGTAAGACTAAGCTCCATTCTCACCAGCAGTCGCCAGACGCGAAGACCGTCCGCGGTCTGAGCCGATGAGCGCCTGTGGCTACGCCGAGCCAATCGGCTTTTCTCAGCTGCCAAGTTCAAAAGGTGTGCCGTCATCTCTGGTCCAGGGGATAGAAATGGGATATTTAAGCTCAGCGGCGACGGAGAGAATTGGCAGGCCGAGCTCTGCTGGATGAAAGAGGAATTGTGATGGCAGACTTCTAAAAGCGTCTTGAAGACGCGTAAGAGAAAGGAATGTTACGTTTTATGTGTACTTAGGCACGTCTTCCCAAAGACCAATAGAGATAGTTTTATAACATTAGGTATGTGTCGATGTGATGTCAATTGTCAGCGTCAGCTTCTTCGAGCATTAACTTGCATGGTAGTTCAAAGTTTGATTGTCGATGATTGATGAAGATGGTGATGGCTGGTGATGACCGGTGAATGTGATCTACCCAGGTCACCTGAGTATTATTTTAACTTTGAATCAATTGTATAGTCCAGAGTCAATTAATGGAAGCACTCGCAACTTCTCACAAAATCTAGCACGTAAATGTTGGTCCATCTGACTCCATCACATGGAGTGCCGTTTCCGTTCATTTGGAGGTATAGTCTTTGAAAATGCTTCAAAACTCGATGAATGCCTAAATGCACCATGTTAACGCTCGCCCGTCTCGCAACTTAAATCGCCCCGTTTAACCACAGTCTTCTCGAATAGCTGGTGAATACTGATTAATTCGGTTTTTCACAACCATCAGACAAACTTTCGGAATTCCGAATGTCTGACCCTGCCAGGGAGGCATTTCAATTCCTCCTCGCGACCGATCGAAACTGGCGATGCCTCAAACCTCGAGTCGCTCTCCTGAGGCCCATTCAGCACATCATTATGAACGGAATTCTAGCGGAATGGGACATCCCAATGGTTAGAGTGCTGGAATATGATGTGGTACAGTGAGCAAGCGGCTAACAGGTCCCCTTCCCGGTGTTTGTCTGCAGGGAGCAGCCGGACGGCAGCACAGTGGAGGTCAGCTGGTTCACGCAGCAGGACCTCAACCGCAGCCTGGTGTTGTACGAGCACCAGCGCCCGCTGGCCGGCCTCTCCGCCTCGGACAGCGTCGAGCTGCGCGTCGAGACGCCGCCGGCCGAGCCGCTGACCAGCGTCGTGCTCGAGGTGGCCGTGTCAGTGACGACGATGACGCGCGGCGGCTTACGGCGCTACGTGGACGGCGTGCCGCTGCGGCTGCCCGAGGGCGGCGCCGCCGGCGTCAGCCGCGCCGTGCTGGATGTCAGCGGCGTGGCCGAGTTCCTGCGCAGCCACTCGGCCGGTCAGGAGGCGCCCCAGGTGCGGATCCGACTCACCACACCGCCCCGGCACGGTCAGCTGCGCCTGGAGCCCGCCGTTGGTGCATCCGACGGGAGTGGGGGATCCCTGAGCGGGTTCCTCACTCAGGAGGACATCAACGCCGGCAGGCTGTCTTACCGGCACGACCACTCGGATACCCTGACGGACAGCTTCGGCTACAGCTTGTTCCTGGCCACGTCGGCCTCGGACGTCCTCCTCTACAACGGCACCGTCAACGTCACCGTGGTGCCTGTCAACGACCAGAAGTTCCGGCTGGAGACTCCCGCGCCGGGTGTGTCCGTTGTGCAGAAGCAGACCGCCTCGATCACCACGAGAAACCTGCAGGTCACCGATCCGGACAACGCTCCAGCTGAGATCCTCTACACCATCATCAGCGGCCCCAGTCGCGGCCGAGTGTTCCTCCGCGGGCAGCCGCACGTCAGGGTTTCCAACTTCAGTCAGGCGGACGTCGACGCCGAGAGGCTGCTGTACGCGCAGGACGGCTCCCTCGGCAGTGATCAGTTCCTCTTCAGCGTCTGGGACGGCGTGCACAGCCCGCTGATGACCAGCTTCGGGATCACCGTGGTGCCCCTCTCGCTGACAATCGCGCGGAACCTGCCGTTGCGCCTGCCGCAGGGCCAGAGTCGTGTCACCCTAACACCGGAGCAGGTGTCCGCCGATACCAACGGTATGCGCAGTGAGATCGTGTTCAACGTCACACGCGAACCGGCCAGGGGACGTCTCTTCATCGGTGCAGACATGGTGACAACGTTCTCCCAAGCGGATGTCGACGCAGGACGGGTGTCCTACCTGCAGATGGACCTCAGCGCACCCAACGACTCCTTCGCCGCCACCGTCTACAACGAGTTCAACGGCATACGCAACGAGACCTTCGTGGTGTTGGCGACGCCGCTAGTGGCCATGACGCCTCTGCGCTGCGCCCCGGGACAGCCGGTGCTGCTGAGCCTCGCGGTCCTCAACGCAACGGAGCTCGCGTCTCGCACGAACAGCAACCCGCGCTACCAGCTGCTGGAGCCTCCGCGGCACGGCCGGGTCACGCAGATAGTGCCGGTCGGCGACCGGAGAAAGAGGAGAGAAACCCGCGCCTGGAATGTCACCTCATTCACGCATGCCGACGTCACACAGAACGTCATCTTCTTCGTGGCGTCGCCGGCGGATCTGACGGGAAACCAGACGCTGTCAGACGCAGTGAGGTTCGAGCTGACGGCGTCTGGCGTGCAGCCTGCGCGTGGGGAACTCCAGGTGCGCCTCCTCAGCGAAGCGGCGCTCGAGGCCGAGAAGGCCACGCCGGGTGTCAACTCAGTGGTGGGTCGCGGCCGGCCGCAGGACTCCAGTTCGTTCATCCGCAGTGATTACGTGCTGGTGGCGGGCGTAGTAATCGGTGTGGTGGTCACGTCGATCCTTCTACTGATCGTCGTCAAGTGCATCACTGACCGGCGACGGCGCGCGGAGCGCAAGGCCCGCGAGCTGGGCCCGGCTCCGCTCACGGAGCTACCCCCCAGCGAGAGCCCGCACACCGTCAGTCGCGCCACCACGCCCGACTTCATCAACTCGACGCTGCCGCGGCCCTCCATCAGCACTCTGCCGCGGCCGCGGATATCGGTGACGGGCGGCAGCCTGCCGCGACCCCGGCACCTGGAGCAGCCGCGCCTCCTGGAGCCCGGCTGGCCGGAGCGCGACGTGTCTCCGTGCGTGCCGCAGTGTACCGTGACGCCGCTCTACACGGGAGCGCAGCCGGCCGACGTCACGTACTCGTATGACGTGGACGCCGACCGCCAGTTCTGCGGCGACGACTGGAGCCAGGACGGCTCCGACATTAGCGCCAGCCAGCCGAGCAACCCGATCCTGAGGAAGAACCAGTACTGGGTGTAGCCGACAGTGTGCGTACGGACGCTGGGACGCAGCGACGCACGCAGTGATGTGACGCTGGAGACGCTGAGTGAGTGCCGGGGCTTGGTGAAACGATCGCAGCCGTGTTGGACAATCGAAGTCCGTACGTTCGGCTGTGAAGCAGGCGAGCATGAACTGAAGGCGTGCGCGCGAACGAGCTCAGACTTGACGTTGGATGTGTCAACTGATGACCAAAACAGTGGCCCTACCTGAGAGATTTTCCGCCCCAGTGCTGTGCGAAAACATCGTTGGTGTTGTGGGTGTTGAGGTTACGATGAACTAGTGCTTTTGTGGTTAATGGAGGAGAATGGTGGCATAACATGTACTGTAACGCCCACTGAAGAGGTAAATGGGAACCATTTGTTTGAGCTTCAGCTTGACCGTGCTATTTGCGTATTAACTGTTCAGGACAAACGACCTACTCATATTCTGTTCGTTAGTGAGTGTTGTTTTATTCCGTGATCGTAATTACCATAATGGCGCGTGTGCGTGCGCGTGAGCTGTTTTGAGAAAATACGTCCATCACAGTCTGAGAGAGAACAGACCTACCTCGTCCCCGTAGGAACACGTGAAAATTATTTCATCACCTACCATAGCTCACCCGGGATACGACTCTCCCCACGTTAATCCTGATTTCGGTAGCGCTCGCCGGCTGGCCAGGGCTGATCTGAATGGCACCATCGAACTCGCGTGGTGGAAAAGGACGATTAATGGTGTCCTCTGACAGCTTCGGTCCGTGTTGGGATGCATGACTGGATTCATCCCGAATTTATCAGACAGATTTGTCGAATCAACGTCCAGCCGCTGATCTAGTGGAGCGTTATTTATTTGGACAGCTCTCTGCGACTTTCTTCTCTTGTGTTTGCTGGGATTTGTGTGGCGTTAGGAGTTGCTGGCAGTGCCTTATGAGCTTAAGGCGCTGCTTAGAGTGGATTTGTCGGGTATGTCTTGTATTTGGTCGATTCAAACAGAATCTCAGCTAGTTGTCAACGCCGGGAACAGGCTTGATCAAAAGTAATAATAGGCAAGAGCTAAATGACAAATTCAAAAACCTGATCGTTGTACCCCGTCAGGCCGTCGGCAAGCCACCATCGTCAGCTGACGCGCCCAACTGTGCATTCAATTGTGATCTGAGTGACAGTCGAGATATCACAATAAAACTGAAACTTGTGTGATCAAATGGTGTTTGGCTTATCCAACGACCAAGACCCATCTCTAATGCGACCTGAATAAAGACTGAATGATCTTACTATCTGATCCGGGGGACACAACATACACATTACGCACTTACTTTCACCATTCCGCCCTGACGGGGAAAACATGTCACCGATACGACACTTATGTCTCCCAGATATCACACAAATGGACCGTATTCCCTGGGAGAAGTGCCAGAACGCCACTGCTGGCGTCCAAGACCTGCCGGTGTCGGGTCGGACCTGCGGACATATGTACTGAAAACGGCAGCTCCAACAGCTCATTAAAGACCGCCAGTGTGGAAAACAGCGGTCGACCGCGCTCCTGAACCGCACCGCTGATGGTTTTGTTTGTGCGGGCTAGTGTGACGAGCTGTGCTGTAAAACCACCGAGTTGTTAATGCCGGGCTACGCAAGGAGCCACAATAAACTGTCAAGTTAAATAGTAAGCATTTATTCTCTCGCACTTCATTTCGTAGAACACTGGAATGGGCCAGATGAATGAGGAGTGAGCTGTGCGAATCTCGATCAAGAATGAAACTAACCCTGTCGCCTTCCAGACGGATAACTCGTTAAAACATCGGTTCACAGTCCAGCAATCTCATCAAACACGAAGTAAATCACATGAAAAGCACACATACAGCAAGCAAACTTACAGGAACTCGCGATGCATAGCACAACAAACCAACAAACAACGGCATAAGAAAATATGGAGCTTCAACCACCTAACATCGAATAACTTAACGGCTGTTGAAGCTCATAATGCGACTTTATCACATTTTGATCTTACGGTGATATCATCTATCTGCGAACCCCACAGCTCTCATGGACAAAAATCCCTTTTAATCACCTATGACACACTATTATGTGTGAAGACCACAATCGTTCAGCACCCGTCACTCAGCTCAGAAATCCGGCCTAAAACTCCCTCACTCAGCCTTTCCGAACTCTAAAACTCGTCTCCCCAGTCGTCACCATCGCCCCACCCGGCGTCAGTCAACTCACCGTCTGCCGGCTGGAAGGACATGTCCAGGCGACTGCTCACCACCGCAGGTTCCAGCTCCGGCTTCACCTCCTGCCTCGGCTGTGGCTTTGGGTCCGGCTTGGGCGCCGCCGGGGCTGCCGGGGCCGGCTCGGGGGCCAGCAGGGTTGGCCTGCTGCTCCGTATCACCGGCTGCATATCGGCAAACAGATCCACCTCCGCCTCCGGCTCTTTACGCCGCACTTGGATACTGAACCGCTCAAAGTCATCACTGGCCGGCTGGGGCTGGGGCCGGCGCGGCGGCGGAGCCCGGCCCGACAGCTTCAGACCTCCACCGCCAGAGGCGCACCCGGCAGTCGCTGCCGCCGACCCCGCCACCGCCGGAGAGTCACCCTTGACCTCAGTCACAGTCTTCCCACTAGCCGCCTCCTTCTGCGGTACAGAGCCCGCCTCCAGAGGCGTCGGGCTGAGCTCGAACCCAGCAGAGACCGCGCCGCTATCCTCCGGCTGCACCAGGATCTCCTGCGTCGGAGGCGGGTCGGGGTCCACATCAGTCGCCTCCCAGTCGGACCAGTCACCTCCATCCTCCTCAACATCCTCCGACTCTACTCCCGGACCGAGCTCGGAGTCCGAGCCGGGGTCCGATGGAGCGTCGGCGGCCGGTCCCAGGTCGGGCTCGCGGCCGAGCTCCTCGCCGCCCTCTGGTGAACGGCGCTCGGGCAGGGAGTCTGACTCACCGGCCGCCGCCTGGGAGAGCTCCAGCAGGGTACGGCGACGCTCTGGGGATTTGGTAGGTGGTGTCAGTGCATATGTCTAGTCTAGCGGATTACGGTAACAAAGGTCAGGTCATATAAGAACATGGTCGATAATACAGTTGTAAAGTGCAACTGTATGACTACCATACAATGAAAACAATAAATGAGCAAAAATGACATCGACTAAGCACAAAAAACACACGAACTCGGGTTCGGACTCACCAGGCGGCGCCTCGGTAGCCTTCTGCGATAGTGTTACGCGCTTCCTCCTCGCGGGGGTGGCACCCTTGCCAGACGAGGCCTGGAAGCGGGAAAGATGTACAGCTTAGTTATGTTTGGTAAAACAGCATTTAAAGTCGACATTCTAGCTGTTCTTAGCAGATGCATATGCGTAATGGCATCGATATTTCCTGCTGTCCGAAACAACTCAAGCTTATATGGCCAATAGTTACCAGTAAGGTGTGTTCAAACTTCAAAGCCCGAAATACGTGTAGGCAAGTGTCTTCTAAGAAGTCAAACAAGTTGGGAAATACTTCAAGGCATTCATACACCGTCAGTAACAACTCTAGCATCAACTATGGAAAACCATAACGTACGTACACTATCTTTAACACCAAACCTCGTAATACGCGCCACACTCGCACCACTCCCAATGACGTACGTACCTTGGGCGTTCCGTTTCCAAAGTGTTTGTGTCGGTGCGGCCCAATGACGACCTGTGAGCCCAGAATGGGTACCAGATCGGCCAGTGCGCGCAGTGTGGCCGCCACCAGATCGTCGTGCGTGTCGCGGATACCCAGCAGCAGCTGGGTTGGAATATGGAGCGTCAGTCAAGGTCATCTATAGCACATACTGATTCAGGAGCAATTGCAAAACACAAATATATAAAGTTGGACCAATTTTCTGTGTACCGGGCCTATGGAGTGCTGTCAACGTATAGTTAAAGCAGGCATTGAGGTCTAGAGATGTGCATGAGTAGTAGACAGCAATGCAGAATATAAGCTGAACGCTAAATCGCGTCTTACATACGCACATTTATCATGTCTCAAGGCGGACTCATCGCCCTCACCTCAGGCAGAACGACATCGCCGAGCAGATGTTTGGGTATCTCGGCCACGTATTTGGAGAAGTGCTGCAGCAGCACCAGCCGTATGTGAGCGTCGTGCACGTGCAGAATACGCAGCAGCTGGGGTACGATGTGCCGCCGGAACACCGTCGGAGAGAGCACGCACTCACCGGTGGCGTACTGATCTGCGGATGGCACACGGGGTGAATGAGGAGGGGAGCAGAGCGTACATTATGATAAAAAAAAAAAAACGAGAGGAGTCAGTCCCTCTACCTACTGGGAGCAACTAATTCCGGGCGCATTATTACGTTTGCTTACCGTCCAACATGGTATAACAGGGCGATAAGTTTGCCAAGCTCAATGGTCGACTAAAATTGACATCGACAATCACCACTGCCCAGTGGCCACACCAGCACCGAGCCTCACCATATCTGGGCGACAGCAGTCGCGGCAGGAAGTGTCGGCAGGCGTCCGGGTCGAGCAGCACCAGCCGCGAAAGGCACAGGGACGACAGGCGGCTGGCCACCAGCTCCTCCGGGTAGGCCCGCAGCCGGCTGGCCAGGTCACTGCAGCCGCGGGGGGGGGGGCGGGTCATGATTGGGTACTGAGTCGAAAGCTATATTTAATATTTATCAAACTATTCATTCTTTAATTGCATTCTTTTTTACCTATACATTACATTCAACGATAGTTAATTACCAACGAATAGCATAAATTCGGTTTGCATTGTCAAAGCATGATTTAGGCGATGAAACAATACTATGAAATGCTCCTAGTTAGAACTTCACTTTCATTTCGAAGTTTACACTCCACCGTTCTTACACCGGCAAGGATTAAATAAAATAATCAAACCACCCTGAGTGAATTTTTGCTCCAATTTCGGCATGGCTGGCTCACATAAAGAACGTTTTGCGCTCCTCCTGACTCTTCAGCACGAGGTTCTCGAGGAAGCCGTGGATCTGGTTGAACTCGTTGCTGAAGAAGTCGTGTCCCTCGAGCTGGTCCAGCGAGGGTCGGGCGAACGGGTCACGCGACAGCAGACGGCGCTTTACCTCGTCACGGAACTGGCGGGCTCCCGGGAACTCTGCGCGACAAACAGAAACGGTCTTAAACGTGGAGCAGGCACAAAAGTCAATCATGAGGACGGTACAGGGCACTGGTGGCATAACATCACACGAGGATGCAGATGATGAACGCCTATAAAAAAGGAACGATAACTGTAAAGGCTTCACATTTTACAAAACAAAAGTAACGCATGGCAATACCGGAAAACCTCTTATCTAAAATTAGCGTTACGAGTGAAGAGAAACGGCATCAGTTGATGCAATCAAATTGTCCGAGCATGTTTCGGGTTTGACCAATATTCTACAAAAAGAATAAAATCTGCATTTTCAAACAGATATAAAATGAATTAAACAAGAAACATAAAAAATCAATCATTTTCTCTCATAAAGAAAAAGGGGCATAATTGCCGAATACCGACTGGACAAGCAGTCCCCGATAACCAGACGGGAATTACTACCGTTTTGGACAGCCGGCCCGATCAGCTCCTCTGCTAGCACTCCGTAGGCGTAGACATCCCGACACCAGGGCCGCTTCTGCCGCCTGTCGACACAGCCGAACCCTAACGGTCAGAGAGAACAGACACCGATACAGAATACAGATCCACCCAGATCCAGTCTACATTCCCCCTCCCCGTAGCCCGCGCTGCGACAACGAAACGCCCCCTCTTCCCCTCCCCACACACCGCAGCGGTCTGGCTGTCGCCCCGGGCGGGGTCAGACGCCCAACGGTGACCTGTGACCTCCGCTTGGTCACGTGACTCGAGGGGGCGGAGTCCGGCCGTCTCCCAGATTACGAGCGATGTCAGTGCGGTTGGTGGTGGCTCGTGTGTGCTGTGGCAGTGGAGCGTGTGGGTGAGAACATTGTGACGAGTGTTGTTTGTGAGATGAGAAGCCGTGACCGAGAATAGAACAGTTTGTCGAGTAACTAAAATAACCGAGGTAGTGTGTCGCAGTTGCCAGGGTAGCTAGCTGATCACGGAATGCGCAGCTCTATGAGAATAGCGCCTCCAGCGTGGCTCGGGGCGCCGCCGTCCACTATCCAGCTGCTACTAGTCCTTATAATCACAGTGGTCTGGCCGGCCCCAGCCACCGCCCAGCACCGAGCGCTGCTGTTTCGCCCTCCGCCGGCGTCCCAGCAGCCGTCTCAGTGCCGCTGTGCGCCGGCCAGCCTGTGTCCGAACCACCTCATCAGCGGGTCCGCCGGTCGCTGCGCCGAACAGGGTCTGGTCTGCTGCTCGGCGCGGGCACCGCTCGACGTACCCAGACTGCGCGGCGGCGGCCGGAACTGCGGCCGGCCGGGACAGCCGGACGCGGGGCCGCGCTGGACAGTGGCTGTGACTCGCCAGGACCCGGACGGTCTCCTGTACCGCAGCGCCGGCGCACTCCTCTCCAGCACACACGTCATCACGGCTGCACACAGCGTGGTTCAGGTGCCCGCCGAAGAGCTGGTCGTGGTAGCCAACATGTATGACCTGTTGGAGGACCTAGACCAGGAGATTTTCCGACGCGTGTCGGTCGTCATCGTGCACCCCAAGTACCATCCGGGCGACCAGAATCACAACGTGGCCATTCTCCGGCTGGAGACACCACTGGAGACGGGTGGCGTGCCGGCTGCGCCTTCCGTCTGCCTCCCGCTGCCGCCCGTGCCGCCGACCAGTCCCGACGGCGGCTGCTGGGCCTCCGGCTGGGGCCGGGACGTGGCCAGTCACGACGCCGCAGCCGCGTCGCTCGCCGACGTGCCCGTCGAGTTTGCCTCCAGCGCCGAGTGTCTGGGCGCGCTGGTCGGCCGCGGCCAGTCGATCGACCTGACGTCGGACCTGTGCCTGCGGCTGGGCCGCGCCGCCGAGACCCTGTGCCAGCTGGACCCTGGTTCACCGGTGGTGTGCCCCGCCGCGGACGGCTCGGCCACGCTGGTCGGCCTCGTGTCGTGGGCTCGTCGCTGCGCCGGCCGTCGCCGCGCGCCCATGGTCGTGGCGGCTGCCGTCGCGCCGCATCTTGACTGGATCATGGCTGTGCTGAAGGCGTGAACGACACTCTACGTCCAGATTCCGGTAGAGATTGCCTACTGATCGACACGTCTTAGCGACTGGCTGGACCATCGAAATTCGCTCTGGTGAAATTGACATTTGAACTGTTGAAGTGACGCGCTTCGAGCCGTGTTGTTTGTTACCTGTTGCAACGTACGATGCTTATACAAATGCCGAATACAAAATATCTCACTTGGCAAGAGTAAAGCTGTCAGGTGCACAAAAGAGGTTGGTTCTCTACACTTCATCGTCTTCAAAGATGAATAATGGTTATGAAAGAGGATAATCACAAGAATCTTTACGAATGAGTGAGAAGAGAATAAAAACCGATAAAGCTACGAAAGTGGAAATGCCAACAGGTATGCAGCACAGCACTCATTACCAAATGCTGTGCTGGGTCACTCATTACACGCTGCCCATCATGTCGAGTGTCGAGATAGAAGCTCGAACGTAAATTTCTTTTGCGTTTTATAACAGGGTTGGTATACATTTTTTCCCAAGCCAAAGCGCACCTTTAACGCACAGACCGCCCTGCTTCATAACTGCTAGCAAACTCGTAACTATGCCTATCAACATCAAACGAACATGATAGCACGTTCAAGCACACCACGCCCCCCGCCATCTCCCAGCGCTCCTCACCAGGTCTGACTGACGCCGGCGGTCGGCTCCGTCTCCTCCGGCGCCAGTGCCGGTTGGTACCGGTGTGCCGCCGTGGCCTGCAGCCGCTCCGGCGTGGCCTCAGAGAACGGGCAGGCGAACTCGGCGCCGCCCAGCCGCCAGCCGCCGGCCGCCGTCACAAACACGGCCGCCTCACACACGTTATTGTGGCACAGCCCGGCCTGCGGACAGGGTGGTCCGTCAATGGAGGGCTTAATTCAATACATAGTAACATGACAGCGATAGGCTAGTGCATGTCATGGACGGGATTACTCAATACGTATTACGTATCTATCAATAGGCGGGCTTATTCAATACGTAACATAACAGCGATAGGCTAGTGCATGTCACAGACCTGGGCCTCTGCACAGTGCACACTGCATTATATTGTGAACTGAGGTCTACAGAGGGAACAGAGGGAAGAGTTGCCCGCTGGTCTGTTACCGGAGACTAGTCTGTTACCGCCCCGGAGACTTGTCTGTTACCGGAGACTAGTCTGTTACCGTCCCGGAGACTAGTCTGTTACCGGAGACTGGTCTGTTACCGGAGACTAGTCTGTTACCGCCCCGGAAACTAGTCTGTTACCGCCCCGGAGACTAGTCTGTTACCGGAGACTGCTCTGTTACCTGTCTGTGGAGGAAGTCGAGGGCGCGCAGCACCGCCAGCAATCCGCCGCTGACATCCAGCTCGGTGAGCCGCGGCCGTACCTCTGCCAGCGGCCGGACCGGCTCCGTGACCAGCTCCAGCCGGCTGCCCGTCTGGCGCCAGCTCAGGAAGCGCAGCAGGTCCGGGTGGCGCGCCGTCATCAGCGTCTGCCGCATGGGACGACAGGGAGTGTTAGTCAGGGGGCTTTTTCCTGGACATAAAAATTACACAACAGTAACTGCACATAATTTGTCATTGTATGTGTCATATAGGAAGAATTCACAGTGGCAGATAACAAAGTTTTATAATAAACGTTTCGGATGTAAGGCATGGACTAGTTTTTTGGATTTCTTTATAAAAACAGCTCTCAAAATGGCATAGCAATTGAGCAAGAGGCAGAAGAATAAATAATCATTGCATGAAAGTATGCATAGCGCCTAGACATTTTCAGCTCTGCATTCTAGCTAACTCAACATACAACACACATCTTGCTGAAGGGTAGCATACCTGAACATTATTGTGGAGAGTGCTGGTCTTTCCACGTTTCTCTCCAGGCATTCCGACAAACACTGTGACAACATTGCCAGAAATGTTATCCAGCACTTCAGCAGCCTCATCTTCAGTGTGTTGTCCAGCTGCTTTAGGAATATTTCGCCTGCCCTCATACAGCACCCATTCAGCAGCAGTACCAAATGACTCTTTATTGACTGTGTAATCAGCACCGATGCTCACATCATTCCCCATGCTTGATTCTTAAGTTTTCCTGAAAGGGAAAGCATAGGATGGGGTGAAAAACTTTGTACCTATCCTGGCCTGTCTCACCAAAAAAGGCCTACTATTCAACTACTATTTCCCTGACATCAACATGATACCTAAACAAAAAAAGATATATTGTTGCAAATGTCAATCAATCAATTAATTGCATTAATTTCTACTTCAACCACCTCAGAACTGGCCTCTGTGGGCTGTCTGACAACAAGCTATGCTTAGTTGGATAGCTCTACAGAGGCTCAGTGAATGACCTTGCTTGAATTTGACCAGAAATATTACCTACGACCATCCACATTTATGTGTGACTGCTTCCCCTCTGATCCCTTCCTCCCACTAACAATGCCCTGTGTGAGTGTGCATCAGTGGGCGCTCCAGCCTCCAGGCATAGAAGGGCAGTCACCCTGTTTGCAGTTGTGAATACTTTGCTTCTCTTCAGTTACTATATTAACAGCATGCATACTCCACTAATATTTCTTTTGTTTTTAGTATTTTGTTTGTTTTTTCCTTACTCTTAGCTGGGAGTGCCACAACTTATCATATTAATTTCACTTGTGTTATCGTAAGGTTCTGCGTGTCGCTGGGATGATAGAGGGAGGGGGCACTCCTGGTCACCTTTTCATGGATGGCGGTGTAGAAAGAAATCAAATTATCAATTCAAATAATTAATAAAATGAAAGCAAAAATATCAAAATCTAACACACTAGGTACGTAGGCGGTAGGTACCTACCGAACAAGCACACACGTCAACAGGCAACAGCAATATACCTACTGAAAAAGCTCAGTGAACAATGCAAATAAGCACCTCGCCATTGACCGTGAAAAAAGTAAGCACTAGTCTTCTATGCCGTACCTATTCTACATTGACATAAGCGAAAAAAAAATATTTTTTTCAAGCGACTTACTCCAACTTGACTCCAACACGGGGCAAATATTTTTTGTGATTCAGATTGCGCCGGAAACGCTTTATGCGCCAGATCTGTAAAGTTTGGTAGCTCTGGAGTTGAACTCTCCAGAGCTACCAAATTGAAGGAAACTCTGGAGGGTTTCCTTCAGATGATAAAAAATATATTATAAGCCCATCCAACCATTCACATCGATTTAGACGGTGGCCTGTAGGCATGCGCGGGATAACGGACCCGGCCCCGTTAAACATAAACACTTCTTGAGCGGTCCGGACGGCCCGAACAACAACACCAGATTCCGATTACATTAAACCTTCAATCATTCCCCGGTCACTGGTGGCTAGCAGTTTTTTTTTGTTCCTTTATTGAACTCACTTACGACTCGTTGTTAACATATGCTGTGTGTTGTTTGGATACATTTGTGTTCAATGTAATGAGTGTATTTGTATAGAAGGTTTGCACTCGGCCTGCACAGTGCACACACGTCACACTTCATGTTTAGGTATCACCGACACTCCACGCAACATGTGACAGATAGCCCGGATAGGTACTCATTTGACCAATCGTCCCTCCGGCTCTCTCATGAGAAAAATCACATTTCAAGCGTCACATCAATCGAGTTTGAGGTGCGGCTAGCATATTGTGACTGCACCATCCACGAGCAGCGACACTCCGCTGATGTATGCCGCCTTGTCGCTGATCAGGAAAATAATCGCGTCGGCTACATCGTCACACTCGCAGAGCCTACCAACGGCCAGGGGGTGCTTTCCCTGGATTTGACCCAGCTTGACGGGGTCCTCCCACGTGAAACGCGTCATTTCCGTCTTGAAGAGCGTCGGGTTGACGCTGTTCACCCTGATCCCGTGCGGCCCGAGCTCGCGCGCCAGAGCCCGGGTCAGAGCGTCAAGCGCCGCCTTCGAGCTGCCGTACAGGCCAGTGTGATCTAGCAGAGGCCGTATCGCCGCCTGAGAGGACACGTTGAGGATCGTGCCGCGCGCGCCACGCGCAATCATACCGCGCGCCACCACCTGGATGATGTTGAGGTTGGCCTTGACGTTAACGTTGAAGGTGGTGTCGATGTCCTCCTTAGTGAGGTCAAGGATCGGCCCGTGTGGACCGACGGCGGCGTTGTTGACCAAACAGTCGATGTCGCCCAGCGCCTGGACGGCGGCGCGGGTCTGTTCCCAGTCGCTGATGTCGCAGACCACCGTCTCCACCGAGGGACACTCGGCCTTCAGCGAGTCCAGCTGTTCGTGCGAGCGGGCCAGGCCGATGACGTGTCCTCCGCAGGCGACCACGCGCAGCGCCAGCTGCCGGCCGAGGCCGCGACTGGCGCCAGTGATCAGCACCCGCTTGCCATCCAGGGAGATGTTCATGGCTGTCGACAGACAACCTACCTCAGAAATAATCTGCAATGACAGAATGAAAGCGGCTTGTTTGTATGCTTTGCATTTTTTTAGGGGGACACGAACATCAATAAATTATTTGTCTTAGCATAGGTAGTAGGTAGGGGAGACCCGGGAGGTATGGGCCCCCTGGAGGTATGGGCCATCGCAGTTTTGAAGAAGTGTTGCGTATTTTTACACATTTGACGGCGTTAACTGGTAGCAGCCATTCCGTCATACATCCCACGTGATTTTCAAAATCTTCCTCAGTCTTCTTTGGCAATGAGCGGTGATAAAGCGTTTTTCCCCTCTTCGAGTAAAATACGGCACATACAGAAAATTCGTGATAAATTTGAACCAGGCTCGTTTTAGGATGTCAGATCATCGCTAACATAATTTTTAAAGCGTGCAAATTAAGACTGGATAGACCATTTGAAGCTTTCTTGCAAGATTATGAGCTGAGATGCTATGCACATTTTGGGGTCCTAACCGGGAGGTTCGGGCCACCCACCGGCCGTTGATCCTAAATAAATACGAAGATGCTTTCATTGAATGTCCCCGTCAATAAGAATAATTTTTGTCGCGCAAGGTCGAAAATTTAACTTCAAATTTCATTCAAACAGAAAAATATTATTGATTTTATTTTATGGTGCATGCTTGAGTTTACCGAAATACATATGGGCCCAAGTCACCTCCATGAAGTAAGCTGTTGGCCGCTTATGCGGTTCCTGGTCTCTAAGATAGATTAAGGTAGATACCAGCTACGAGTATTATTCTCATTGTCGAGAAAAGAATATGAAACATGGCACCGGCCCATACCTCCCGGGCCATGGCCCATGCCTCCCGGTGTATTTTGATGGATCGAAAAAGCACATGGTTTATTGAAAGTTATCTTGAGACAAAATAGTTGATCCCAGATGAATATCAGGCACACGTTGCAGGCGAAAGGCAATTTCACGTACACAGAGTAAAAAACCGGGTCTAGCCACTGCCCACTGGAAGAAAATTGCCTTTTAATAAAACCGGCCCATACCTCCCGGGTCTCCCCTACCTACTGCTAAAACGTGATGGGACAAATCATCCGAACTCCATGGCAATGGTCACAGCTGCAACGAAAAATAATTATTATTTCATTTAACTCAAAACATTAGAGCAGAACTGAGCTCTTACAGTCTTGCGTTTGATGGGAAGCTGAATGACCCTATTTCAATTTTTACAAATATTCAAAGCTGGCTGGGATAATGATGCCTATAATCCAGTTCTTCCTCAGTCTCCCCTACAATGTAAAGTTATTACATTAGTCCCCTCCGAAGTCATGATGTCACTTAAATGCCTCACACTCCTTTGATGACCTAATGCTCGCTTCCAATAAAGTAACATAGCTTATCACCAATGAACTCGAAGAACTCCACGCCACACGTGCACGACTTACCCTGCTCACTCCAAATAGACAGAACGTACAAGTGGCCCTTGGCGACTTCAGTGAGTAGTGTTAGGTCAGTGAATGAGCTGATTTCGTCCTTATATATACATACCCGCCTGGCGTCTAGACTTCTCTGCGCGCAGACCAATGTTTATTAATTCTAGAGGCAGATAACATATACAGGACCAGCAAAGTTCAGTCTGTGTAAGAGTTTACGCAGAATATATTTCTAGTGCAAGGGTTGTTGATAGGAGGATGACCTACTCGCCAATAGGTGTTGTAGAGATATCCGTATACAACTGCATGCCGCGAGGATTTGAGGCCTGTCGGGTCCCCGCAATCATGGCTATGCAAATTGATAAAAAGCGCCTAGAAATAAAATTGGTGAGTGAAATATGCGTGTGTGTTGTCTCCACTCTCCTCTCTCTCTCTCTCTCTCTCTCTCTCTCTCTCTCTCTCTCTCTCTCTCTCTCTCTCTCTCTCTCTCTCTCCCTCCCCCTCACTCACTCACTCACTCACTCACTCCTCTCTCTCTTCATGTTAGGCTGGTGATTTTCCACTTCCCGGGAGTTACACACCATCTCCGCTGACCGGCGGAGTTGGCGCCATTTCGGGAGGAAGTGGTTAGGGCCTGATATCCAATCTCCATGGAGCATCCTTCCGCTGCGGCACGAGCTGCCCATTGACCGTCAGCTCACGTGACATCCTCCATTGCAACGGAGCAGGAAGTGCGGTGTAGAGCGCAGAAAACTTGGAAAGTGGCGTTAAGTGATAGGTATACTTCGTGGACATTGATGGATGGCGCTTCAACGTCACGTGGCGCGTGGAATACCTACAAGCGAGCTCTGGCGCATAAAAGTAAAAAAAACTGATATTTTTTGGCCAGCTCATGTTTCTCTTCTCCCCTTGTCGCGTCATTGGAATGTCAATTGGACCGTATAAGCATGTGTCGTTATTTCGTTCGGCATTTCAGTTAGCTGGATGTAAACATTAGAGGAGGCTCTGGCATGTTCCATGTTTGGATTATGAGACCAAAGTCCAAAGGGTCGATCGGGCTCATTGCGTTAACAGTGCTTTACTGTATCTGATCAAAGTGATGATTTTTGGTTGGCGATGTCCGGGAACTACATATACATCAATCCCGCTGGAATTTCATTCACAAAGTTTCCAAACAGTAGAATATCTAGTGATGTGAGCCGTGAGGAATGAGGATACCCTTGTAGCTCTGGGTGTGATGGATGCGACTTTAATCAGGCAGATACATAATACATATGCACAATACACATAATGCGTAATTATTACATTATTGCCTACATGTATCCGTAGAGCGTAGCGATGACCATGCACATTGTATGTGGTGGCAGCGTGTGCTGACTCAATGAAATGTCACAAAAATCTCGCACAAGCGTATAGGATCAGGGGCGGAGAATTGTCATAATCCCAGGGGGTGCTTTTCTAGCACCTGGCGAATGGAAGCGTCGAATTCTTGCGTAGAAAAGCACATAAAGGTACGTTTTGCCAGCAGCATCACTCTCCTTGCGACTTACGCAAAACAGTCTGTGTCTCAGACGTAATTTAAGCACCGCTAAAGAAATATCATATGGTGACTTTTGAATTTCACGGGGTGCTCGAGCACCCCCAAATTCCCTGTATAGGATACCCCTGTATAGGATAAAGAATGCTTATTTTTTGCCCTTTTACGTTAAATTTTTTAATAAATAGTTTAATTTTTTATCAATCATTCAGGCGTATGTGGGAGATACAGGAGAACTGAACGAGTTATGGAAAGAATGCATTGTGGAATGGATTGTCTAATATATTTGCAAAGGACATTGGTACACGGTTGCACAAATAACGATCAATTATATATGTCTTTCCTTCGTTTCCTTCTGTGGGTTACATATCTAGCTTTCATGGGAACACTTCTTTTTTTTCAAGAAAGTCGGTAATGGCATGGAATATTGCGGGACACACATACAAGTACCCCACTTTTGTAAAGAAATAACTGCATGCTCAGGCTCGCTGTCTTCAAATTCTAAATTTAGCCTAAAATTAACTTAGCTGCCTTACTGAACGTAAGTACCTAGTACCTACACCAATAATAATGCCATATATCATATTTTCTATGGGTGTACCCTTTTGTGGTACTCTACGTACCACAAATGATAAGGTCAATTCGCTTCCGCATATGTTGCTGTTTCCTTTTTCTAGCTGATGGAAGCGATAAAGGTTCGACTATTTGGAACGCTGAGGGAGAGGCAATTGCTCATCCCTCACTGGGATGACCTTATGTTGTGAAATTGAACTGGGACCCTCCCACCTTCAAAAAAGTTAATGAATTGGCATAAAAGTAATGTCCCGTGGTTCAGAAAGATCGAAATGGATATCTACCAAATTTTACCGAAAAATATCGAAAAAATATTCACTGGTTTTCAAGATATTACTTTTTACTTCTTGGGACCTCCGTTGTTCCTACGACGTCATTTTGAAGCAATAATATTGCATCCTAAAAATGCGGCAGATGTTGAGCGCAAAGCAATATATATCACCACGTTTTACCGATAATTTTAGTAAAAGATTTAAAAATCGTTAGATCTCCGCTGACGTCACAAAGTCTAAGGGGGCATTCAAATGCATCAGCCCCTTGAAATATGAAAACTGCAAGTTTAAAATTAATTATCCCCGAATTGAAGCACTTTCCGATGTTGTGAGCAGTGAGTGCCCAAACCAGTAAGTGCAAGTCAGGAACCCCAATTTGGCTATCTTAACTCAAAGCTAACTGGGATGTTCACTTTTATGTTTGTTTAATGTTTCAAAAAGAAAAAAAAATGTTCATTTGTATGCTTTTCTGAGTTCTATGAGTTGACAATGACATGCACCAGTGCATTTGATTATTTCATTCCTGCAGCAATTGCAGCTATTGCATTGATCTTGAAATTTCATTCTTTAAAGAAATGGGCCGAACATAAAACCAATAAAAACACGTATGTACACAACCGCGCCATTTCCACGCACGCGATTGAGTTCATACAGTAGCAAGTAACTGAGCCATAGACCTCTGTATACCGAGGTATACAGAGGTCTATAACTGAACACAGGCTGCATTGCGACACCTCAACGTCGTTCGCCAGACGCATGAAAATCCAGTCGAATGGCTGACTCATCAAGCCGTCCTGCGCATTAGCCGGTCACGTGACCTGTCCTACAGTAGCCCCCTCCCCTCCCCCTCACCAGAAGCATGGACATTGGACAGGCCCCGAGTTCCCTCCCCATCCGGACATCCTAATTCAACGCCGGGAAGTTCGGCGCGTGCTGCGGAACTTCCTAACGCCAGAGGTGTCCGCCGTCCAGTTTCCCCAGAGGGGAGGACAGGGCGCGTATATACAAACGGTCGGTATGGGCCTTCACGTGACTGTGTTATGTCGGGTGGGAGCCGATCGGCTGTGACTCATTTTGGGAATCCGCCGGGGCAGGTCGCACTCTGACGTAACTGGGTCGGGGGAGGGGAACCGTTGTGGTTCGGTGGGCATAACAGCTGGCTCGGATCGCATCGGCCCCTGAACTTCAATGAGGCCTTATTGATAAGCTGAGTCTTGCCATTGCAAGCTGTTTTAATTGAAATTACAACACTGGAATTCATAAGGGAAAGTACTTGTTGGAATGACGTTAGTTTACAGCTTATCGGTATAATTTCAAAAGCGGAAAGTGTAAATGTTCTGTAAATTATACACGTAGGCATGCTATCTATTGCATGCTCGAAAATTCGAAATATATGTATGAACAAAGCGTAGAGATGTGAGATGTCTTCTTAACTCTTGCTAGTGCAACAGCCGAAAAAGCATTACCATCTCGAATGTATTCGGGGTGCAGCCTGGTATACCATGAATGTAACTACCTATATGTAGTCAAAAGTATGCCAGGGAACATGTTGTGCGAAATCGAATCAATCATTTTATACAGCATGCTCGCTCTCACACATTGAATGCAACTTATATGCCACAGCCCACCTTCATACGAACAGTTGCCTGTCTCGTTATCAGCTCCATGTAGCCCGTTTTTACATACATATGTTCCGTTTTACAAGCATTGTGGTTCGCCATCGCTGACTACCTAAAGAAATGACGAATAGCCATGCTCTATCACGAGGACCATTTCCATGGACCATGGAAACCATGGTCGGACAGTTTCGACAAGGGATTCAGCAAGTTACATTGCAGTCGGTCGGTCGGTTGTGGAAAAATCTCGCTGAATCTCTGATCCAACGCAGTGCTGGCGGTCCGGAAGCGACGGTCGGGCTTTCCGGGCCGGCGCGAAACGTAAATACGGCAGTGCGACAGCCGTCGGTATCAGACGCTCCCGGGTCCACCCGCCAGCCGGAGCTCCCTCCACGCTCAGTAGTGGCCGGCACGTGCCAGTGTCAGCAGTAGCAGTGTGGTCAGGACAGACTGTCTCGGTGTCAGAATGCGGTTCATGATTGTCCTGTTTGTGGCGGCGGCCTGCTGCGGTCTGTCGTCCGCCTCCCCGGCCCGACAGCGCCGCTCTCTGCTGCCGGAGGGGTTGCCGCTGCCCGACGGCGTGCCACTGGAGCTGCTGTTTGAAGCCTGTGGGAGTGATATCGGCCCCTGCGTGGAGCAGCTGCTGCAGGGTGCCATCGAACTGGCCAGGCCATCATTCGCCACCGGCCTCGAGGTTGGTAACAAGACGATCATTCTGGAGCCACTAGCGCTTAAAGACATCAAGCCTAAGAGGAAGAGGCCCGGCAAGGTGCAGGTCTCGGGAAGGAACGTCCAGGTGGCGGGCATCAGCTCGCTGGCCGTGGAGGACGTCACGCTGCTGCCTGACAAGCTGGCGCTGACTCTCAACTTCACGGAGCTGCAGGCGTCGGGAGACCTGTCGGTGCGCTACCGGTTCATCTCGGCTAGCCCGCAGGTGGTTCTGACGCTGGTCAGGCCCAGCTTCCACGTCATGGCCGATTGGGACCTTGTGCAGCTTGACGACAAGCTCGCCGTCAGCCTGAGCAACGTCAACGTCAGCATAGAGATTGAATCGTTCTCCAGCGAGATCAGCGGTCTGTCAGGCCTAGGGCTCTTCCTGCAGAAGATCCTCAACACCAACAACCAGATCCTGCTCGACCTGTTCGAGCCCAAGCTGGAAGAGAAGGCTAAGAGGTTGCTGGAGAAGGAGTTCCAGACCATCAAGCTGGGGCGCATTTGAATGCCGATCACTGTTGACTGCCTCGCTGACATGCGAGAGGTTTCGTCTCGGCAATGGAAATCCCGTGGGAAACTGTGCCATGTGTGGTAATTTGGGTTGTGTGTCGACTCTAATGTTGACTGCTTTCGCCTGGTAAGCTGAAGGAATGCGGATGTTCATTTGTGCTGAACATCAGCTTTAGATGAGACCAAACGCTGATGCTGTACATACTCGTTACAGATGTGTCAATAATTTCGCTGTGATGCGTACCAAATGCTGGGAATGTGCTCACTGTTGTACCTGAATGTTGTTGTTCTCACCTCAGGTTGTATTCATCATAAATATTGTGTAGAAAACTGCATAAAATGCACCTTGACACTAATTGCATTTGTAACGGGATTTCCATCACGGGAAAACGGCTCGTGGACAGTTGCCGGTCTCCTGTCAGTTTTCTCCAGAGGCGGGTCAGTCCACGGGTCACACATAGGTCACTGCACCTTTCTCGGGATAGGATGGGCAATCAGCTATTTAAACAAAACAACTAAAAAAGGGGCTTCGGTGTGATGGTTTACTCTAACTAATTAGATCGATCACGGGATTTTATTCAAAGGTTAGAGTTCGCTAGCTGTGAGCCGCATGAAACTAGACAATAAAAAATACTTAAGTTGCCTTAAATAACACTGCGAAATATAACTATCCTTTTTATCGAGCAAATATAATCTCCTCGAATATTAATGGTTATTTCTCAAACTCAATATACCTATCTGAGCGATCAATAGGTTTCTTAGTTCAAGCAACGATCAACTTCCCACAATCAATTTCAACCCTGAGTAATACTACGCTGAGTGGCAGCTCCCACTGTATCTATCACATACATTCGATCATTTACTCCTCTCTCTCTCTCTCTCTCTCTCTCTCTCTCTCTCTCTCTCTCTCTCTCTCTCTCTCTCTCTCTCTCTCTCTCTCTCTCTCTCTCTCTCTCTCTCTCTCTCTCTCTCTCTCTCTCTCTCTCTCGCATCTTATCAAGCAATCCCAATCATTCTCGATTTCTAGGCTGCCATACCTAGGCCTTCCCCTCCCCGTTTTCCTACATCCCACAGCGGTGCGTAGTAATCCCCGATAGGTAGAAAAATGTTGATTATAAAACGACCGTTATATGTACATTCATTGCTTCAACCTATGAGGTATAAGGATTTGATAAATGCATTGTGAATGAACATTAATTTAATCCTATAGAGAGTGATAGTTATCGACTCAGATGTGAAATGTAATCGTATGCATTCAAGAGATCAGCCGATTGTTTTGATTCACTTTGCTTTATAAATTAAGTCCGAATCGTTGAATAGGTAGGCAGTTGTGGCCATTTTTATCCCTAGCAATCGTTGAACAAACTATGTTAGAAGCATGTATGTACACCAGAGCATGTTGACGACCGACTAAAATATATCTTAATCAGTAAATCGATGAACGGAATGTTTGCTTCAACCATGACAATTCTTTAAAAAAAATTGACCCCCTACCCAGCGGAGGGGTGCACGTTACGGCTTTTGGCGCAACACAACAGGGGGCTGGATAACCCCTCGCACTCATAGGGGGTCGAATGGACCCACCTCCTTGGTTTTTCGCGAACACCTAGCTCACGCCAAAAGCGGTTGATCGTGACGGAACTGTAGTGCCCTCGAGTTGATCAATTTTACTGAAAATTTCATGATCCTGACTCAAATGATCTTTGACCTGTAACCTATTTCTCGAGACCATGTTTGGCCGGATTCGCGGTTCGGCGTATGTCGGCTCGCACTAGCCGCGCGTTTGCAAGCTTTTCGTGGTTGCAAGCGTTCAAACATGTGATATGAATATGATGTTGGTCCCATGCATTAGCGTGGGTGTCAAGGTCACCTGAATGTCAGATCAGGTCATTGACCTTTGATGACCTTGGTTCACTTTTTTGAGTTTTACATGTTTCTAGGCTAGTGTTTGGAGCTAAATTCGAATTAAGCAGCCATTTGAACATTTACGAATAAGTTTTGGTGCACCTTTTTAGTTTTTAACACGTTACGAAGCTGTCAGAGGCGGTTGACACGTACTACGAATACCCGATAGGACCCCTGCTGGTTGACCTGACCTGACTTAACCCGACCTGGCCTAAATGCATGAAGATATCATCTGTGATCACAACAGCAACACGATATTCGTGATCAGCACCCCGAAACCCCCTAAAGCAGCCACACTTTACGACGTTCTACCAGGTCCCAATTTTCACGACTTTTTGGTCATTGACCTGACGTCAGAGAACACCATTGGACCAATGACCTTAAAAACGGGTACCGTTGGCTTCGTCTCGTGACGAACTACAGGATTACTTTTTCCGCCAGACTCTAGCTCAATAAGGGCCAAACGCAAGGGGGCATCGCACCAACCACCCCTCCCCCCCCCCGTGCCGTTGAAGGACGGAAAATGGCCTATGCCAGTGAGGGTTAGTTGGAATATATAATACTGGATGGCTCTGGGAAAGAAAAATGGAAACAGAATTTTTTGAAGACCAAGAATTCCATTTTTCTTCCAGAGCAGGTTCAGTATTCCCATATAAGTCGTTTAACCGTTTTCATTAAAAATTATTAATAGGTAACTATTATGTAGTTTATTTAGGTACTATTGCTAGTTTATTAATATCTATAGTAAATGAATAGTTTTTATTACGTGGTAGTTCTTATTTAAAAAATCACCAGAACTGTGGGTCATCAACCCGTGCCGGAAAGTAGTGTAGGAAAGATCACATGCAATGTTCCCTGCACGGCTAGGATAATGCTAAAGGGATTGGCAGGGGAGGGGAACTTTTTCACACGGGGGGGGGGGGGGGCACACCATAATAGAGATCAATCTAGGGTACCGTTTTCTCACCGGTTTTAGGCCACTTATTTTTCATCCCTTGGCTTTAAAAAAGAAAACATTAGCGAAAAGTGCGGTATTCCGTCTCAAAGTTGTGGGGGCATCGCCCCCACGGCCCCAGCGTTGGGGGAGGGGGCAAGCTGCCCCCACTGCCCCCCGGTTCCCGCGCCAATGTATCCTGGCGTATGAGAAAATATTTTTCATCTATCCAATACAGTGTGCGCTAGCCAGTTTTCTCAGTAATTCATTTACAATGCTGTTGCTGTATTCAAAAGATTTTTACAGTGAGGGTCGAACTTAACCTTCGCCCTAGTGTGGGGGGGGGGGGGCATATGTTACCACCCTGTCGCGTTTTTTGCGTGTGAATAAAAACCCGCGGCGAGTAGCGCCGCGCCGCTTGGAGTAGCTTTCTGTACATCAATTTTGAACAATGTGTGAAATTTTTGACCCCAGGTCATGTCAGGTCAGGTTACCAGGTCAAGTTAACTGACCAAGCCTAAAAAAGTTTGCAATCATGTCCAGCCTGCAGTGTTTGTAAGAGTGGTTTTAAACTTGGTGGATTGCATGATGTTATGGGCACCTATAATTTGTATATCTCGGATTTCTTACATCCGTGACCTAAGGTCAGGACAGTGACGTGACCTTTCCATTATAAGTCTATGGAGGGAAATGAAAATGCCTCTAGATCCGTGTGTACTGTGTAGTTGTGTACGCATAGGAATATTTCAGAATCACAATGATTTGGACCACCCGTGACGACCAAGGTGTTTGTTGATAGCCTCTAGAAAGGTCATCCAAGGTCATTTGAGGCTACAAACAGATTTTTGCGAATTACTCCCGATGGGAAAGAGATAGAACGCTGGGGATGGCTTCATTGTGTCTGTCTTGTCGAGGCGTATCAAATGATGTGCAACATGACCTATTTGGATCACCCACGTGACCTTGACCTGAGGTCGAATTTAGACCTTGACCTTTCCAGGTAAAAAAATATATGTTTCGAAGCGACTGAAGGAGAGAAACATGATAGTGTCATTGCCAATTCTTCATCTTCTGGTTAAAAAGCTATTCGTGAAAAATGTTTTATCCTAAAAAGCTATTTTCAAAATATTTGACCTATGGAGTCTTAACCGTTGACCTGAGGTCAATTTTGATAATAGACGTGTTGCGCTATGCAAAAATGCTACTTTTTTCGCACGTACTAGTAGCTATTTGATCTGAAAACTCCAACGGTGAAAAAATCAGCTTGATTCATGAAGTTTAAATGCCTTAAAAATCGGTTTAAACGTCAATTATTATCACGTGACTAAATAACGAGCGCTGATTGGTCGTGACGTCACGATTCGTATCCAGCGAGCCCCGTGAAGGTTGGCTGCATTATGTTAGTATTGGTCGGCGGACGAAGGTGAATCTTTGTGGAAGAAAGATGGTAGGTACCTACAAAGCAAAATAAGTGGTGTATTACTCCAGAATGTACTAGTAGGTACTTCATCCTCAACACCTGATAAAGTGTTTGTTAACCCGCGCACCGACGGGGAATCGCGCCAACTTACAACCGACGGGGGGGGCGGATGACCACCCCCCTGAGATCTCGAGAACGAAGCAAGATAGCGACAAGCGGTAAACGGCATGGGGTACGCACGGACAAGGTCTACAATTTTTACTGAAGTCATTTTCAGGTCAGGTCAAAGATGACGTCACAGGGGTCAAAAAAGTTTATGGCGGCGCTACATATGGATAGTTTTTCTCGAATAACTTTCGAACTAGGCAAGCTAGGAACAAACTAAGGGCACCATCGTGATCCTCTTGTCAATCGGCATCGAACCATATATATGTTGACCTCGAAAGGTCAAGGTCAAAGGTTGACCTCAGGTCACGTGACCTCGAGGTCATCATGTATATCATTCGATGCGCCTTGACGAGCTAAACACAATGAGACCATCCGCGCGGCTGTATCTCGTTTCTGTAAGGAGTCATTGGCAGAAAACCTTTGGTGACCTTTGATGACGTCACATGACCTACAGCTGCCCAACAGCAAAACAGGCCTCAAGGTAGTGAAGGTTGATCGTATATGAAGTCGTGTATGGTATATGGGGCCATTCCGACGCGTTCCAGAGAAAAAAAAACAGGGAGTTGATTTTTCCCCCATTGACTTATAATGGGTTGACTTAAAATAATATAATAACACTTCAGTCAAGGCGACGACGTGGAACCAGCTGGCAGCTACCGAGAAGTTATGCGTGCGCGCGCGGCGCAGTTCGACGTTCCACAGCCGCACGCCAAAACGCCTCATCCCTCACTAATAGCCCTCGACAGTACCTACATCTCGTCGTAATCAACACTTACGATCGTGACCTGCCTATTGGTTTCGAAGGACGGATCAGCCACACAGAAGTATGCCATTTTGCACTGCGCCTTCAGCATCAACAACTGGACCTGTGCCACATGTTTCTGCGCGTTGATCTTTCTAGAATCATTGCTGCCGATGTACCTAC